GTCATTTATGGCGTAGGCGAGATATCCGTCTATCAACCAAAGGATGTGTTTACTGCGCAGCAGTTCGTTCCGTCCTACTTTATGGCAGTGAAACATGGCCGGTAAGAGTAGAGGATATCCGTAGGCTACTGGTATTTGATCATAGGTGTCTTCGAAACATTGCTCGTATATCATGGGACCATCGAGTAAGTAACACAGTTGTTAGGAAACGGGTACTAGGTAAGGATGGCAAATCAATTGATGAAGTAGTGAAACTTCATCAGTTGAGATGGCTGGGACACGTGTTACGTATGCCCAACGACCGACTGCCTCGATGTGCTATGTTCAGTGGTATAGGAGTAGGTTGGAAGAAAGCTAGGGGCGGCCAAACCAAAACATGGCACAAGTCCATGAAGTCACTGACAAGTGAACTGAGCCATGTTGGTAGGTGTAGACTACCTGGTTGGGGACCGCGAGATGATAGCAACCGATAATTAGAAACCTTGAATGACATGGCTCAAAATCGTTTGCAATGGCGCAGGTGCATCCACTCTTTGTGTTCTCCGAAATTCTAATGTTCTGAATTCTCCATGTCCCCTTTCTGTCTCTTTCCAAATTTATTTCACTGAATTATACTCTTTAAATAACATCTCCAAACCCTAATCTTCCCGATCACTGCTTACACTCTTGCTACCTCTACCACTACGGGATTTGGATCGACAAGTGCATCTCTGTGCTAATGTGGTGTGGCAACTCGAACTGATGTACGTACGTACGAAGTTCTACGTTGTTACTGACTGATTACATAAATAAAGGACAATTATCATAGCAGGATATGGGTAACGCATAGAAAGTATGTATAATTATTTTCATTTTGATAGTTAGTACTATGGCTTTAGGTTGTTAGTAGCTCAGGAGAATCAAGAAAGTAAATGAATTCACGTTATCCTGTTATGAAATTTGTTCTTTCTTTATTCAAGTTAATAAATGAGAAAAATTACATTAAATCTGTTTCTTTTAATGCTTCGACGTCTAAGCAAAAGAACACAATCCTGTTATATTTTTTCTTGTTGCTCCAATAATGAGGTCGGACGTGGTAATCAAATTGGTAAACATTGTAAATCCACTTCAATAGAATAATTTACTCATCATTTATAGTTTTCATTCCACTGGAAGTTTAAACAAAATCTCTAGTTAAATTGAAGTCATTTATTCTGATAACATTTCCGACTAAACATAATGGCTACAAGGCGTTCAAAATTCCAAATACTGAATGTACAGGTTCAAACCCCACTTCACGTACTTCGACTCATACAATCGTATAGTATACTAATGCAACGAATCTTCAAATAGAGAGAACTATCATACTCATTGCCTTATCGCGGCGACGGTGTTGTTTACGAAATTGAGAGAACGAAAAGCGAATGTCCGGCAAATTAACCGGGTTGGTGGACACGGAGAGTCCACCTAGGGGAGTTGGAAAACTTTCATTCCCAACCAATGGTACACATGGGCTCCATTATTCTGAAGGAACAAATGGCGTATGAACCAATCGTTGGTCACCGATTACCATAGGACTGCATCTGAAGTTGCTTCACTACCTTGTGGATTAGACATTTAGGTCGAAGGCTCCGTGTGTGGTACCTTAGCCCTTACACAAATTGAATGATTTACAAAGTTAAATTATTATATCAAATCCCTTTTTTTCTTAAAAATTTTCTTCTGTTTAATAGATCAAAGTGAATAATCTAAAACGTCCTGCTATTACTGCGGAAATTTTCAATGATTTCAATAATCTTAATATTGATTCATCCAAAGTATCTATTGGTCCAAATCCTCCAAAAATTTTCAAAATTATTGAATTAACCCCTGAATCAACTAATGAATCAAATGTATTACCAAAATTAACTGAAACGAATCATTCAAATAATGATATACATCAAACGAATTTCATTTATGATATATACAAAATGATATCACCATCCTCATCATCATTATCGGATCCAAAATGTTTATCATTGGAACAAACAATATGGTGTACAAATGATCAATTAATTAGAAATGCTGATAATTATATACATGATGAATATAGTTGGGGATTCAATGAAGATTCTTATGATTATACTAATGTTGATGATGATGAAGATGATTCAAATAGTGAATCAAATTGGCGTAATGATTATCCTGATGAACAAGACAGTAGTAGTAATAGTTCATCTAATCATTCAAATTCACCATATTCTTCATCGAATAGTAGTTGCAATAATGAAGATTCAGATTATTATTATTAACTTTTTTTCTTGCTGTATGCATTTTTTTTATACTAAAAATACATTTGTATAAAGTTGTCTACTCCTTTTGTGGTGTGCGCTACTTATAATACACATAAGTAGTATATAACGATAATCAGCAGTAGATTGGATTTCGAAGAGGAAAGAATGGGAACGGAAAGCAATTGGCATAAAAATGCAGGAACAATGAAACCTTAGACGATGGATTGATATATTGTAAAATAAACAGTCAGGTTTGAGACAATGGAGTGATATTTCGTAAATTAACTATTTACTGTATTGTTCTCAAATTTAAGTGAGATATTCTGTAATTTCCTGTTCAAATACATTCGATTGTCTCCACTCATTTTCTTGTTCACTACATTTGGTGTTGAGAGAGAGAAATGATGTTTGTTCTGCGGACGCCGTTGCAGGCCTTGAGCTGAGGTACCGGCTGGGGCAGGTGGCGTCGAGTGGAGTGTTCTCGCGGGGCGGCGTTGGCTGTGGCGGGTGCTGTCGACGGAGAGGAGCGGTGGGACGTGCGGCTGCTGGGCGGAAATCGGATGTAGGTAGCTCAGCAGGTCGGTGGAGCACGGGTGTGAAGCGTCCCAGGTGGATATCGGATGTTGGTGCCCAGGCAGATCGACGGAGTTATGGACGTCAGTGTGCCGCAGACTCGACATTTTTACGGAGAGCTTGACGCAGACTTCAAAAAAGAGGAAAGTGGCATGGCGAGCAGAACCACCACAAGAATGACTGCTTTAAAGAGGGAACGAGTGTGGTGCACTACTTATATACACGTAAGTAGTATATAACTAGTCAGGAACAGGATGTATTTCAATAGATCATCGAGAAGGAAAGATCGGGAACGTAAAGCATTAGGTACTAAAATTCAGGAACAATGAAATCTGAGACGATGGACTGATATTTGCAAAAGGAACAGTCAAGTTTGAGACAATCGATTGATGTTTTTCAAGTTACTTTTTTACTGTATTGTTTTCAGATTTAAGTGAGATATTCTGTAATTTCGTGTTCAAATACATTCGATTGTCCCCACTCGTTTTCTTGTTCACTACACTATACTTTCTTCAATTATAATTACTATTGTATTTTGTGTGACATTGGCATACTGCCTAAATGTGTAGGTCAGAGCAGGTAGTTTTGTTATAGAATCACTTTCTGAACGTTTTATACCTGTAGGTTTAATCCACGTAATCGTTAAGTGACGTTAGGAGATGCAATCTTGTGGTAATCAGTGACAAAAATAAGTTCGTACCCGATCATATGTATATCTGATCTATTGCTTGTGTATTTTGAGACCACCGAGTAAACGATACCGAGCTGGGGCATCGGATGCTATATAAAGATTGGGAATCGGTTGATAAGGTAGTGGAATCATTAATTGAAGTGGTTGATACATGTGTTATGTATGTCCAGTCACCGTCCATCTCGACGGGTGATGTCCGGTGTAGGAGTAAGTTGGCAAAATGTTAGGAATAGCGAATACATGGCACCAGCCCATAAAGTCACTGATAGTTGAACTGAAACGTGTTAACAGGCTATATACTACGTGATTGAGGTCTGCATGATTATCGTAACTAGTGGTGAAATTGCTCAGAATCATCGTCAACTGCACAGGTGCATTCACTCTTTGTCTTCCTTTGAAGCATGAGTCCCGAAATCTAATGCCTTTTTAATACCTAATCTTTTCTACTGATACTGTTACCATACCTTCTGTTCTTGAATTTGTTTCTTAAATTTTTTTTATCTCACTGTGCTAATGTTGTTTGGCAACTTAAACCGACGCACGTATGTGTCACGTTCTACGTTGTGTATAACTAAATAACACCCATAAAGACCATGTGTAACCGAGCTTCACCAGTGTCTTGAATCTTGCAGTCACTTCTGGGTCATCAAGACCACACCTATTCAACATTTCTTTCCAGGTACTTCAGGAAGAAATATCACTTAACTTAAATCATTGTTTTGAGTAGTTCATGTGTATGTTACGTGTTCTTATTCGATTCACAATACTGATTAGTATAGAAGTAGGTTTGAAAACTGTTACAAGTTAGCAGATGAAGATATCATCAATTCACGATGTCATTGTTTACTGATCTAAACCTTATCGATGGTTACAAAATTCTTGTTAATAATTTGTGGTTTAGAATATTAAGTGATATGTCCTGATACATTTGCTTTCCTAATTTTTCATTCTTTGATGTAAATTGTTCTTTTTTGGACTGTACTTCTCATGCGTAGATTTCTGCAACCTTAGTGCATTTTAATAGTTGAATTCATGAGTCGATTGAAGCTAGACCACCATGAAAAACTTAGAAGCACTGGACGACCGTTTTATCCCAGTATGGAACTCTTCAGCAGAGCACATCCACGATCCCGCCTCGCGAGACTCGAACCCAGGACCGATTGGTCTAGAGCACGAACGCTTAACTTCTAGACCACTGAACCGGCATCCAACGGTGTTAATGTCTAACTTCAACCAATCCACGAAATTGAGCCACCGTCCACCATTGTCATCAGTAAGTTACTAACTCACAACAGACCTGGTTGAACTCCATTGGTCACGGCTTCTCAGTAAAACTTAGTGATGTGAAAAAAACAACAATTTCCCCATAAAAATATTTTTCTATGGAAATGTCGTTTTACAATGAAGAAAAATAGTAATCATATTGTGGAATACTTTTATAAGACCAAATAATTGTATTTGAGTCTATGCAACCGATTAGCTGATTAAATAGCCAATTTAACTTGAGGCATTTCAGCAATGATTGCACGAAGTGCTGATAAACCATAAAATGATACACAAAGTCTACCGATTTCATTTAAACTCTCTGTTCCACCATCGACAGTTTTAGCAGCTGTAACTAGAAATTAGAAAAAAATATACACAAAGAAAGTGAAGGGAAGAAATTACATTTATAAATGATATTTATTACAGACTGAACTCGGTTAGGGTACCATTAAAAACTAGGGAATACTGGCGAGCTACTCTTTTTCTGGTACTGAACAATGCGTATCAAGAATACTTCAGCAGTGAGATATTTTCGACTTAATACGAGATAGAAGCTTAACCTTCAGTAAGTATACACCGGTCTCCATGTTCAAGCTTCATTCATTTTAGAATTATAGCTGAATCATCATTAGCCTCTCACTGTCTCGCTTTGATATGTTTGTCCAGTAAACCGATATTTCACAACTTCAATACATTGAATGACACTAATTCTATGTTCACACTCCCTAACTCATTAACGAGAGTGGAAAGTCCAGTTTCATAATTCACATGTGCGTACTTTGTTTAGTGAAAACGCCACTCAATATTCATAGGCATGAAAGAGAGACAAATATATAGACACATACATACTATCATACACTCACGCTTAATGTCATACAGAATGATTAATAATGTACGTGTGTAACACTTAGTAGCTAAAATTTTGTTCCACATAAGTTACGTTAAGGGATTGCACATACTCAACCGTTAAACACCACAAATAACATACTAACACTACAATGTAATTATTTATTTCAACACGTAAAGATTGGCACAAGGCGGCACATAAATCGCTCGATGTATATGAAGGCTGGGGTACTGTTCAAGTGCCCAAACAATAGCAAGTGATTTTCTTAACGGGACCACATCCACAACATTTGACCTTTAGGTCTAATCCATAAGACAGCGGAGCAACGTCAAGACCCATAGTAGCCAGTAATCAACAATAGGTTCCTTCAGGATTCTGGAGTCCATGTGCACCATTAGTATGGAATGAGGGATTTTTAACTGACCTGACATGGACTCTCCGTGTCCACCAACTCCGTTTAGGCCCCTTCTTGACATTCGCTTTTCGTTGTGTCAGTTTCGTAAATAAGACCCGTGGTGCGAGAATACAGTGAGTAGGACTTCGCTGGTAGTGGTTGTATACACATGTCCATGTGAGAGTATTTGTAGATGGAGATCTGACTCTTCTCACTCTCGGCCGCACCAGGGCTCTTAGGGGCCTACAGTGTCAAATCATCAATGATCATGCAATAATATTACTTGAAGATACTCTATTTTACAGACGGACATCAGTTATAGATCTAGTAAAAAGCAAACAGAATTGACTAGTTATTTTGTCCTAAGTCATTCATCATTACTGAACAATACTTGTTCATCATATACAAAAGAAGTATAATATTGAAAAGTTTTCTTACTTGGAATAAATACATGATCTATATCACAATTATCTTGTATTATTTGTCTAATATTAATCATAGCATAACCAATTTCTTCACATTCAGCTGATTGTGTTGTTGATGTAGATGGTTCACTAACAATAATAAATATTAAATTACCATTGTTTGGATCTTCTGGTAATAAATAACTTGCTAAATATTGTCTACGTTCATAATTCTTTGTAAAATCAACTGGAAATGCTATAATGTAGAAAAAAAAGTGGAGAAAATGATGAGTTAGTCAGATTATATGGTATGGTTGTGAACCCCGGTCCCCTAACCCACCGCCTACTCTCGGTAGATAGATATGAAAAATTTATTTACTTCAGAGATAGCCTTTTGTTTTCACAATGATCTTAGCAAAAATCAAAGCCTGGAAACTATCCTATCACACTTAGCCAAGTACCAACAATATACAACCTAAGATAATATGTATTGTTTCGAATTGTACACATTAAGTGTGTAGCACGCTAATATTCTTACTCTTATTTAGTTCACATCTCATTCAGAGTTCTAGTTGTGTAGTATTAGGATTATCAGTATTCAATAAAAGTGAAATATCCATCAGCAACAGCTTACTTTAGGAGAGAACAAACCAGATTCCAAATGAAAAGGAAATTAGGAAAAGAGAATGGAATTGGATAGGATATACATTACGGGAATCATCAAACTGCATCGCGAAGCAAACGCTAACTTGGAATATTGAAGGGAAGCTGAAAAGAGGAAGGTCGAAGAACACATTACGTCGTGAAATAGAACTCGATATGAAAAGGATGAATAAAAACTGTAAAAGAATTGCTCAGGACAGGGTTGAATGAAGAGCTCGGGTGGGTGGCCTATTCTCCTCCACTAGGAGTAACAGGCATAAGTAAGTAATCTAAACATTTTAATCATTCTTCCGTTCATTTCATGTGTCAATGTTGAATATAGAAATGTGATTTTCACTAAGGACTTTCACTTAAACTAAATCTATCTACATATGTCTTCTGTGAACACTACTTTAATGTATACCATATTATCATATATCATCGTATATGCTACAATATAACTAGTGACTTGACATAATTCAATTTAAAATGGTTTAGATGCAAGTAATTTCGGTTGACACAATGCCCATCCTGGATTACACTGTTAGTCATATTTCATTTGTTCTTTATCGAATGACCAGATAAAAGCTCAACAAAAGATGTCTATATTTCAGAACAATCTACACTGAACTGATCAAGATTACTCGTCCTCTATGGAACATTTTACACAGTCGAAATCACGAGTTGATGTAAGCTAGAACATTATTAAAAAATTGGAAGCACCAGACTATCATTTCTTCCCAGTATACAACTCTTCAATAGTACAGGACTCGGGCCCATAATCTTCGGCCTCGTTCGCAAACGCTTAACATCTAGAACACTGAACCAACGTCCAACGATTTGAATGTCTAAATCCAATTAATCCATGATCTTGAGCAACCCATCATTTATTACCTGTGGTGGATAACTGTTTCACAAGCGATACGGCTTGCATTCGACTAGTCATGATTTCTCACTAAAAATTCAAAAGTTACATCTTCAAGCTAGTCACCGTGGATTCATACAACTGAAGAGTGTCGTACTAGGACGAAACATTCGTTCAGTGCTTCCACGTTTTCAACAGTCATCTTATTTATTTTAACACATAGATATTGGTACAAGGAGGCAACAAATACATATGAGCCACACACATCTCATTTTATAGGTATGAGGGCTGTGATAGTGTCCAAAGCGAAGCAGGTGGTTTTCTTAGGGGACCACACCCGGAGCCCTCGACATGAAGGTCTGATCCACAAGGCAGTGGAGCATCGTAAGGAGATACAGTCCCATAGTAGCCGGTCACTAACGATTGGTTCATACGCCATTTGTTCCTTCAGGATACTGGAGCCCATATGCACCATTGGTTTGGAATGAAAGTTTTCCATCTCTTCTAGGTGGACTCTCCTTGTCCACCAACCCGGTTAATTTGCCGAACATTCGCTTTTCGTCCTGTCAATTTCGTAAACAACAACCCCGTCACGAGTAGGCAGTGAGTGGGACTTCCCTGGCAGAGTCTATATACGCGTGCCCATGTGAAAGCATTTGGAGAGGGAGAGCGGACTCTCCCCACTCTCGACCATACCAGGGCATTTATGGGCTATAGTGATCTAGCTTAGATCAATTCATGATTTTAACTATGAAAACACATTAATCTCTACAAATCCTTGAATAGTTTACAAAGTTTGTTCAACTTACTTTTACTATAATAGAAATTTGCTTTTAATATATTTTTATTATTATCTATCCATTCAATTAATGGATAAGAACCAGTTTCAAATGGTTCTTTATAACCAAGAAATGAATATTCAATAAATAATTGATTCGGTAATGATGAATTCATTTTGGATAGTTTAGATAAATCTGTTAATTGTAATCCATGTAATTCAATTTTCACATGATTATCATCATCATTAGTAGAGATGGATTGAATAGTTGGTGATAGTTTTGAATTTGAGACATTGTTATTATTGGTAGTTTTCTGTGAAGAAACATCCAAGTTGATCAATTTCTTTTGATCATGTGACTCAGTTATTCTTGTTCTAGGATGTGGAGTTGGAACTAATTTCAACAAAGAAACAAAATTAATTGGTGAATTCCAATGGATATTCTTTTTTTACATGATTTAAAAACTTTTTAAGGTTTGATAAAGGTTCAGATACTCTGAAATCATAATGCATACGATATAGAAACTTGTCCATATGACCCCATAATAGTCGTCCTCTAGAGCCATGGTACGGTCTTAAAAATTCCTTTAATCTCGACCACATATCTTCAATGTTGTTAGTATGAACGCCAGTAGTAGAGTCAATAAAATGGCGTTTATGCACTAGCACGTGATGAACATAACCAAGTCTATGAAGTCATCTATACGCACTCCAATCATCTGTATATACCGTAGTGCCCTGCTGTACGTATTCCTTTATAATTGGTATTATTGTGCTTGCTTGACGGTTTCTCACCCTCTGAAAATTCCCCTTTTGCGTTGAGCGATCATAAATTCCAAGTACCTGTTAAGGATATTTACGGAAGTGCTACTTACCCAATCTTCCTTGATACTACGTCCCCTGTTGTATTCTCGCTTTCGCACTATTGTTTCATCTATTTCCACAATACTTCCAACTCCTCCGAATGATTCGTGTAGACGTGTCATTTTAAATGAACATATGTCGCGAAAATACTCATACCATTGGACGGCTGAAGTTTCAATAACATCTGCAAACGCCGCAGCCAGTGTTACTGGTTTCTTTATTATCCAATTTGCAAATATTATCATGAATTGCCTCAGTTTCAGTCGCGATCGAGCGAAGAAAGTCCCCGTTCGAGCAGACGTTTTTCTCCAATATAAAGAACAACAAAATACAGTCTCTTCGCGATATTCTGCAAACCGTACTGCAGTCATTTGATTTACGCAGTACAGGAACTTCTTAGTAGTCTCATCTCTTGTACCTGCTCTATAATCACCTCTTCTCTAAAATCCGCTGTAAACGGATCGTATGTGAGCATCAGGTGTTGAACTTGGTGCCGTGACCTTGAAATCCCTCAAACGCTTCTGATTAGCCCTTCCATAAATTAGAGTCTCGCCGGAGGCATCAAATAGATATGCGCCACATAGATCATTCGATTTGTGTGAGGGCTAGGATACTGTCCGGCTGCCCAAACAATAGCAAGTGATTTTCTTAGGGGACCACACCCACGACCTTTGACCTTTAGGTCTAATTCATAAGACAGCGGAGCAATGTCACGAGATGCAGTCCCATAGTAGCCAGTAACCAACAATAGGTTCATATGCCATTTGTTCCTTCAGGATTCTGGAGTCCATGAGCACCATTAGTATGGAATGAGGGTCCTTTAACTCATCTAACATGGACTCTCCGTGTCCACCAACTCAGTTCACGTCCCTGCTTGACATTCGCTTTTCGTCGAGTCAGTTTCTTAAATAACACCCGTGGTGCGAGAATACAGTGAGTAGGACTTCGTAGGTAGTGGTTGTATAACTTATCCATGTGAGAGCATTTGTAGATGAAGATCTGACTCTCCCTACTGTCGGTCATACAAGGGTATTTGGATCTACAGTGACTTAAGAGAAATATTCCGAACGGTGAGGTTATCAGTTATGGACGACCTTTAAGCGACGCTAAAGTAACCTTGAGAATCTCCATCTACTTACTAGGGTTAAATGATGATTATAGGTCAGTGTGAGGAATTAGAATTTACAGTTGGACGTTAGGGTTAGGAACTAGATTTAGTCTTTTCATCACGAGCTGACATAAACTAAAATGCCAAATGAGTGGATGAATTTCGTGCCAAAATCCAAGATCTGCCGAATTAAATCGGATTGGTTCGTTATGAAATTATAGTCTTGACGATTTTAGTTATTTGACTGTACTACTCATGAGTAACTATTTTCACTGTATATGATTTGTGATTAGGAAATCTTGGCAGAATTAAATGAAATCGTTTATTTCACATTATTATTATTATTGTTATGTCTGCTGACATAAGTAGTATGTAACACCAATCAAAAATGGAATACCTGGCAGCAGAAGGTTGAAAAGATCTCACTGAAAAGAACAGGAATGTAAATAGAGAGTAATCGTAATATCGATGAAAGAACGAAGAAGTTTGAGACAACTGATGGAGGATTTGTAAATGACGTACTTAATGTATGATTCCCCCTACCTGATTGTACACAGCTCTTCAAGCTTATGCATTACAGCCAAACTGAATCGGTAACACGGACCAGTCTTCTAGCAACATTTTGCATTTATGTAGGGAGAAATCCACCCAAAACATGTCTACTATGTTAAGGCGATTAAAATATTTAAAAGTTTTGTCAGTCTTCATGAAACAGAACTTTCTCATATTCACTTGGTATTGTTTACTTGTATCTTCCCGTTGTTATTTAGGGCTGCAATTGATCAGTCACTTATTAGCATACATGCATCCTGTGTGGACTACCTCGATACTGTCTTAAGTCACAAGCTATTTAAGCAAAGATGTGTTCGAGTCCCGGAGTGAAAATTACTCCTGAGATGCAGGTTCATCCAATTGATGAGTTCGAAATAGGTCGAAACGCGCGTCAAACTGTATTACACTGCTAGCCACCATCCATCTTTGCTACAAAACCTTGTGAATTCAGGTATTGCCGAAGCAATCCACACAGGATACACATATGCCAACAAGAAACTGGTCAGTTGCAGTTCTATATAGAAATGGGAAGATACAAGTAAAACAACACCAAGTGGATTTAAACTTCACTCCACTGCACAAGCAGGTGCCTATCAGGACTCAGTAGCTTAATGGATAACGCAATGGCTTGCAATTGACCAGTCTCTTATTTGCATATAGGCATACTGTGCGTATTGCCCTGATATTGCCTATAGTCACAAGCTCTATAAGCAAAGATGAATGATGTCTAGCAGTGGAATGCAGGATACGTGTTTTTTCCTACTTGAAACTCGTCAGCTGAATGTTTCTGCATCTCAAAGTTGATATTCACTCTGGAAGTTGAACCCAGTACCATTTGCTTCAAATGCCATCGTGTTATCCACTTAGCTGCTGAACCCTGATAGCCACCTGTTTGTGGCGCATCCTGGATTCCACTGCTAGCCACTATCCATCTTTGCTTATAGAACTTTATCATCTGCATATTCTACGTCAGTATTACAGTAACTCCTTAAAAGTCAGATTGAGAAAGTATTCTTTCTAAACGTATGCTTACACCTAACTGAAATCGAATGAGAGCCAGATGAAAATCCTGTCAATTAAAATGAAAGTTTGTTATAAGCTTCAATTCATTCAAACAATACTCTTATAATCAATTACAATATAAAGTGATTACATCATTGTCATTATTCTTACCAATTAGTTTCTCCTCGGAATTCTCTAATTGAATTTGTATCGAAGGTGATAATATTTTATCGGTTCTTGTATTGATCTTTGAATGATCATGTGAATGAATTGAGACCTAATATAGATTAGAAGAAAAAAACTGCACTAGAGTCACTCAATGTGACATTTAACCGAAAAAGACTGTCTGTTTGTAACTGATTAAATGATAAATACCTATTTATCTATTGTATAGTTTGGTCAGTAGTATCAAATGGTACTTGTATTACAAGGAGAAGTTACAAATAAAGTGAGCGGTTAACGAAAATTCATTATCGATCAGTTTTATTAGTTGAATACTATTGATAGTTGTTTTGATGAATCTTCCAAATTAGATGACGAAATTCAAACAATCCTAGAAATTTTGCGACCATCTTCTATTGTACTGAGGTAGATACCTGTCTCTACTTGATATGAATTAGCTTTATTGATCATGGCTTCTCACTAAAACTGGGTCATTGGTTCGAATCCCGCAAGCAAGATCGTGGATGCTCACTGTTGAGGAGTCCTACAATACAACGAAACGGTCATCCAGCGCTTTCAGGTTTTCCATGATGTTCTGTCTTCAATTGACTCATGATCTCAGCTATTAGTATTAGAAAGGTTGTTGGAGAACCCTTCCATGGTGTGGGCAATCGGTAAGTGATAGCCGCCCTCATACCTCTAACAGCACTCAAGACCACTGTCTTCCCTTCTTTCTACGAACTAATTCTTTCTTCCTGTACTATATGCTTGTATGCAATCTTTCTTTTATATATTACCACCACAGAATTAACTACTTTTATGAATCCGGTGTCCATCTTGTTGTGTTAATGAGGTATGGCAACTTGGACCGATGCATATATGTGCCTGGTCTTACGTTGTAGCTGACTGACTGACTGACTGATTTTAATCATTTCTCAGATTTTTTACAGTTATTTGTTGTCATCTTCCGGGAAATGGTAAGTCAGTAACTAGGGGGACGGGGGATGGATACTCAATATTATAATTTTTTTTCAAAACATTTTTGAATTGTAATCACAAAAACAATGATGGTTACAATGGATAGTTACAATGAATGAATAAATCCTTTTAATACAATTCACATAACTGATTCATAATTAAAGGATCAATGAATAATTCTAAGAAATACCTTTTTATCAGAATGTGTTTTGCGGAGATTTTTAGAAATTTTCACAGATTGAAGTCATGAGTCAGTTGAAGCTAGACCACCATTGAAAACCTGGAAGCCGGTAGGTCCTGAGTTCGAGCCCCGGGTAGTGCGGGGTCGTGGATGCGCACTGCTGAGGAGTCCCATACTAGGACGAAACGGCCGTCCAGTGCTTCCAGGTTTTCAATGGTGGTCTAGCTTCAACTGACTCATGAGTTCAATCTGTGAAAATACCTTTTTGGATGAAAATTGAATTGTACGTTAAATTCGACACAGACCAGTGTCAAGGAACTAGGGAGCATTGGACAACTATTTCTCCATAGAATAGGATTTCTTAGCTTATGATCCCACAGATGATTAATCCTATGGCTTTCAGGTATCACAATGAATCACTAAGTCATTGTTTAATTATACAGTTTGATCTTTGATATAGAGTGACAATCAGCTTCTAGAGAGAAGATTATTGGTGTGAACTATTGAGTAGTCCCATACCAAAACGAAATAATTATACGATAATCTCTGGTTTTCAATGATACTCTAACAGAGATAAATCTGTCATCAAATCAAATCTAAAAGTTATATCAATCCCCATAAAACGCTAGATGAATAAACTGGTTAAAACATGTGATGTTCCTCACCTGGTTATCTGATTTATTGACAGTTATTTCAGGGATTTTAACAATGGCTTGATCTAGATCAAGTTTATCCTGATTTTGTTTAGCTGACCTATGTGATAGATTATCAGAAGAATGTAGTTTATCGTTAGGTCTTGTAGACGAAACATCAGATGATGATTTTGATTGTAAGTAAGTTTCTTTAGAAGATTCATATTGAGTTATGTAGGGTTTCTATGACAAATGAGTAGAATTTAGATAAACAACTTTATGTTAGGAATAGATAGCCAGACGTAATTCAAATGCAAATAACTGAATGCTATTGGTTCAGAAATGGCTTAATTTTCAAAGGAAATTAATATATACTAGTGACTGAAAATCTAACTTGATTTTCCGTAGGAGATAGATATACATTTGTGAAATGGGTAAAACTATACTATACTGACGGTCTTGAACGATTAACTGCAGTTAAGCTAACCGTTGAGTGAATTTAAAACGCTATTACAGATACACTTCGTGTTGTTTTACTTGTATCTTCTCATTGTTATCAAGGACTGCAATTAATTAGTCTCGGTAGTTAAGTGGATAACGCGATGGTGTTTGAAGCGAACGGTACTGGGTTCGAGTCTCACAGTGAGCATCAACTCTGCTATGAAGGTACATCCAGCTGACGAGACCCGAATGAGACGAAGCGTACGAAAAACTGAGTTTCACTGCTAACCACTCTCCATCTTTTCTTAAAATGTTATTACAGATAGCCTGTTGAAACTCATGACTGGATGGTTATTTTTTATGTGGAATGAACTGTTAAGGTCAATATTTGAGGATTAAGTGTATTGGGTTTAGATGTTAGGGTTAAGGAGTTTTAGGTTAATAGTATTAAGGTTAGGATCAAGGGTTTATGAGTATTATGATTAAGAATTAGGTTGATCACTGGGTGGTGAATGAGCGATGCCATGTGTCTCAAGTCCTTCTTAGTGCAGATCGAATGCAATATGGCCACTATTCTAGGTGACTTGACTCGATCGAAACGTAGTTCCAGGGTTTCCTGTTGACTACCTCTAACCACCATCTTATCTCAACATAGTGCACGCAATGTCGAGTCATCTAGACTGTTGGTCACATTGCAACTTGGTCGATAGCATTCGATCTGCACTCAAAAGGAACTGACACACATGACATTGATTATCCACCACCCAGTGATCAATCAATTGTGATGACATCTCAGTCCTACAGGAGGTTAGTTGTGGTCCGGATAACTCAGTGGTAACGTCTTTGACTGTGAAGCTGCGTGACACGTGATCGGATCCATCAGGGAGCACCAGTTTCTTCGAGATTACAAGTACACATTACTGATGAATGCCAAATAGCACAAAACTCGGGTTCAGGGTTTCCTGTTGACTACCTCCAACCACGATCTTATTAGGAATTAGGGCTAAGAGCTCGAATTGAGGAATTTTACGGTTAGAGTTAGTTTTTTTTTAAAATATGCTTGACTTCAAATAGGGGTATAGCCTGATTTCAAAACAATGATCTTAAGTTTAAATTATTGATTCTGACATTGAAGCTGAATCCTGATTGACTGTTTTTGATTGGTTTGTCACAGCGTTATCTTTTAAATGCTATTAAGGTCGTCAATATCGCATAGTTTTATTTATGAATGACTTATGAATATGTCTTCGATTCATTGAATGAATAAGAGCTGATCACTTTCCATTCTGTTACTGAACTAAGTAGTATAATCATACATTTAGGAAGTGTGTACATCAGTATTAAACTTGGACAAAATTTACAATTGATTAATCAGTAAGTAATGATCAACGACATTTATGTTAAGTTTTTATTCAAGCTAATCGAATCTTCTCGATCAACAAACACTGTATCCACTAGTCTAAGTTACTCGACATCAATGTGAACAGTGTTTAGATGTATAATGGTGGTCAATAGGAAACCTAGATCATGACGTTTGTCGCTACTCCATGACTAATCACCTGTAAATATATCTTAGTCCTACAGGAGGTTTGTCATGGTCTGAATAGTTCACTGACAATGTCTGTGACTGTGAAGCTGGTTGACACACGATAAAATCCACCAAGGAGTATCGGTTCTCCTAAAAATACAAATACATCTTATTGACATGTGCTAATTAGCATGAAACTTAGTTCAATCAGGGTTTCCTGTTGTTTTCTACCTTCAACTGTAGCGAACAAGCACACGAGTGGAGACAATCGAATGTATTTGAACATGAAATTACAGAATATCTCACTAAAACCTGAGAATCATACAGTAAATACTTAATTTGAAAAATATCAATCGATTGTCTCAAACTTGACTGTTCCTTTTGCAAATACCAGTCCATCGTCTCAGATTTCGTTGTTCCTGCATTTTCATATCAAATGCTTTCCGTCCCCCATCTTTCCTTCTCCATCTTCTATTGAAACACATTTTATTCCCGACTATCGTTATATACTACTCATGTGGATTAGTGGCCTTGGGGGCTTTTACAGATGTGAGGGCGGTTATCACTTCCCGGTTTCCCACACTGTGTAAGGGTTCTTCTGGAGGTACCTGAAAACGAAATTTAATTAGATGTGGTCTTAATGACCTGAGGGCGTGACCGCAGTGACAAAGAGACAAATGCTTGAGGTTAGTCTTACACGGCCTTTTGTGAGAAATTTCCGTGTTAACCCCATACTTATTGAAGCCTTACCGCCGGAGACGGATTTCCTTGGAATAAGGCAAGATGTGTATTTTTAGGGTAGACCTTTTCTAACCTCACTCCTCTTTGTGAGGAAGCAGCGTCGCTGTTATGCTGGTTGTCTGAAGGAAAATTTTTACTGCCATCATACCTCTATACAGTCAGCAGTACGAATTCGTCTTCGGACCTTGAATTTGTTGCTTTCAGTCTAACCGTTCTTCAACCGACCTGTCTGGCATGGTAGGACCTTGAGGAACGATTGTTCTAGCCAGTATAGCTCGATTGCTTCATCACAATAGGCAAGACCGACCATCACATCAAGGTAGCAACAACGGTCGTGCCTATGTGGATATAAGTAGCTCACACCACACAATCACCAGCTTGTATAAACAAAATATGACTAGATACTGCCTATCAAGAGTAAGCTTAAAAGACAATTATTTCATATATACGTTTTCTGAATTAAACAGATTACCTCTGCAGCCTGTTTCACTGGTTCCATTTCTAGATCTTTGGATTCTTCCATGTTTGGTTGGTTATATACCACAGTTTTAGGACTGTTGGTAGTAGTATTATTAGTAGTATAAGGTCGTTGCCAATACATTTTTAAATATAATAAACCACAATTAGGTAGATTTTTATCGATTTGATTGAATTTCCCCAATCGATTAAATTGTTGTTGTTGTTGTTTATTTGTGAATACAGTTAATGGGAATATTTCAAATACACCATCAATTTTTTGATTTTTATTAATTAAATCAATTAAAGGAATGATAGCTAAACCAATACAACTTGTTTCAGGTGAAGGATCTGCATTATCCACAATGTAAATGTTTAAATTCTCTGTTCTTAAATAACTGAAAATCAATGAAATTACAATAAAGGAAATGAGATTGTAATCAATAATTCTTTTTTACTGGGATTATTTATTGAAAATACTGCTGGTTGCCCAAATGGAAGCAGGTGGTTTTCTTAGGGGACCACACTCGGAGCCTTTTACCTAAAAGTCTAATACACAAGGTAGTGGAGCAACGTTAGAAGATGCGATCCAATATGTTCATAAGTCACCATTGGTGTGGAATGAGTGTTTTCCAACTCCACCAGGTGAATCCTCCGTGTCCACCAACTCGCTTAAAGTGCCGAATATTCGCTTTTCATCCGCTCAATTTCGTAAATAACACCGGTAGTGAGAGAATGCAGTGAGTAGGACTTCCCTGTCAGTGGTTGAATGCATGTGGCCATGTGAGAGCATTTAGAGAGAGAAAGCAGCCTCTCCTCACTCGGCTGTACCTAGGCATTTGGGGTCCTACGGTGTCAAATCATGCGATAACATTATTTAACGATACCAGAAGGGTTAGGAGAAAAAAGAACCAACAGGTACGCTAGGTTACTCATACCATTCGAAGGTCATTCGTTTGGCACAGAACTTAAATTGAATAAGTCGTATTTCGATTGGTGAATAAATCACATGATAATTAGCCAGGCTTTACAGTCACAACACATGGATTGGATATATTTTATCCTTTTTTAATTAGACTACTTATATCTTAGATAGTAGATTCATGAATTAGTAATGAATTCATTCGATAGCCTACATCTGTATCATAGCTCAGAAATCCACTTTATTTATAATACAGTTAGCTTACATGGTACAAAGTGAATACGTACACATTTACTAACATAAGGTTAACATATTCAACTTGATGAAGAAAAGTCATCAGTATAGGGTTGTGGAGATTATTAAGTTATTGATTGAAATCTTGAACCGATTGATGTTAGACTACAATCCCTCTCGTGGGATCGTGGATATACACTGCTGAGGAGCCTGACAATAGGACGAAACGGATGTCCAGTGCTTCCAGGCTTTCAATGGTAGCCTAAAATTAATCGGTTCAAGATGTCAACCAAACAGAAAAATTGAACAAACAAACTTACTTATCAAGTTTATCATTCATTTCTAATTGAATAGTACGACAATCATTAAATATTGGTGTTATATTCTCTTTCATTATCATGGAAGCATATTCTGATTGATTATAAAATTGATATACAAAATAAATAGATGGTAAATAATCTATATAATTCTTAGTCAAGTTGGTAATTTTCACAATTTCAATAGTAAGTATATTCTGTAATGGATCTATTGGAAGTAGGTCTTGTTGAATAGATGACATAGATTTAGGCAATTGTTGAAATCTTTCTTTGTAAAGTCTGAAATTAACAAAGAAATAAAAAGGATGATTGTTTTCTGATATCTAAATTCTAAATAAACATTTTATGGTGTTAAATTATACAGTGTTGTGTACTACTGATGTCGACAGATATAAGTAGTATGTATATTACCAATAGAAAGTGAAATATCTGACGGCAGAAGGTTAATAAGATTGAAGAAAAGAGAGCGAGAACAGAGGATGATTGGTAAGGAAACGAATGAAACCTGAGACAATTGATTGACATTTTGTCAATGAATTATATACTGAGATGCAAGTACATCCAGCTGAGTCCCAAATAGAACGAAATGCGCGTCAAACTGGATTCCACTGATAGCCGCTATCCATCTTTGCTTATAATGCTTGTCATGTAAGGTAATATCGCCTGTTTCGACATCCCGTTTTAATTATAGTCTAAATAGATATATATATCAGAGAGGGTTTTATGGAGATTGTAGTGATTTAATAGTTTAGATCATGGGTCAATTAAAGCTAGACCACCATGGAAAACCTGGGAGCACTGATAGGACTGATAGGTACTGGGTTCGAATCTCACGGGGTGGGATTGTGGACGCCTATTGCTGAGGAGTCCCATACTAGAAGTATATATATTTTTGGTGACGTAACAACTCCTCATAGTTACAAGTTAGTTGTTATCTTATGATATTAAGTGCTAAAGAGGAGAATAAGTATCTGTGACCAATTGATGTTGTTCAATGGAAACTATATTTATTGTAGTACCACCAAGTCATACTATGTGCTTATTAATTTGATTACCAATTAGGTAATGTAGTCTGAAATAGAAGTTTACTCTATAGACATTTAGGTGAGAATATCTGTTATTTGATATAATGAATGTAGAAATACCATTATGCCGAAATAGTGTAGCCAATAACTTCGAAAGATTTAAATCAACACAAGTTGATTATTGCCTTAGATACTTAAACGATAGATATAGATTGAATGGGATATTGACAAGAAAATACAAGGAAACTTTATCGAAACTTAAAAGTTATAGTGTAGTTCAAATGAATACAAAGGACTATCTAAACAAGATAAAGGTTTAAAGATGGATAATAGCTAACAGTAAAATCAAAGACTCGCGTTTCGTTTTATTTGAGACTCGTCAGCCGGATGTACTTGCAACTCATGTTTCATATTCACTCTGGGAATCGAACCAAGTACCGTTTACTTCAAACGTCATCCTGTTATCCACTTAGCTAATGAGTCCTGATAACCGCTTGCTTGTGCCGAGGGATGAAGTTTCAATTCGTTTTGTATTATTTATTTAAATCCTCCTACCAACGTTTAGGAGAGTAAATGATCAGGTTTTTGTTGGCATATGTACATACTGTACGCACTGCCTCGGCAAACCACAGGAATAAACATCAGAAACGAGTAGTGAAGAATGGCATGAGAGACTCATTGCAGCAGCTTGAACAACACGATTTTATTTCGGAAAAAAGTATTCAAAATGTTGAAACCTACACGAATGATAACACAAAGGCTAATATGTTCTGCTATAAATAGATTTAAAAAATAACGCTTACTCCTCCGACCTCTTTAAAATATTATTGATTCAGTCTATCATATCTAAATAGTTACTGCAAATTCTTCAAGAAATCCTTAAGTGTAGTGTCAAGGACTCCTAAAAAATGTGTTCATGATGTAAAACCATATCGGTCAAAAATACATTCATGGTGTTATTAGATGTCGGTCAGTCGGTTAGTCAGCTACAACGTAGGACCAGGCACATATATGCATCGGTTCAAGTTGCCATACCGCATTAGCACAATAAGGTGAACACCGAATTCATAGAAGTAGTCACTTCAGTGGTGGTAATATATAATAGAAAGGTTGTGTATAAGGACATAATACAGGCAGGAAGAATTAGTTCGTAAAAATATTTGAAGCGATTTTAATCTCATGGTTTACAGCAAGACAAATAGTGTGTACACCGACGCCATTGTGATCGATTCTGAGCCATGTCACCTGCAGTCTCCAACCAATGGTTACGATAGTCACGCGGACTTCAACCAAGTAATCTACATCTACCGACATGGCTCAGACTAGAAATTAGTGACTTCAATGACTGATGCCACATTTTGGTTTGGTCGCCCCTAACTTTCTTTCAATCATCCCCAAAACTAATCAGCATTTCATTAGATGTATCGTCTTTATTCATCAAGTTGCACTACAGGAAATTGTGGATTTTATTTCCAATGAACTGACAGACAAGCCCAAAGAGGCCTTAATTCTTGTATCTGCAATAAAAGAGTTAATAATTAGATGACTTTCATTTAAATTTGTTATATAATAAGTAACTCATAGACTTGTAGTATGGTGTCGAGTCGAGGTTGACTATGAACACCACTACAGGCGAACGCGTACCAAATAAATCAGAAGACAAAGATTGAACGTAACCAGATTTATTCGCTGGAGATCTCGTGGTATCGAAAAGATACCGAGATCGTGCCAAAGGAGTACAAGTGGAATCAGCGGGCAAGAGTACGAACGTACGAGGTCACAATCCCCGAAAGAGTAATGGAGGAGGAATATGGCTGTCTTTAGCGCAGTTAAACGAACGAGCACAGTAAATACAATCACTGGTACAATTGGTTATAATAATAAGTGTTTCAATTAAATCAATCGCGTTCTCTTGGTAAAAGTAGGTCACTACCGACTTTTTGCTTTGAATATATATGAATAGAAACAATAGATTTGATTCTTTGATAAAGTAATCATCTATTTATAAGTAAGATCAATAATCAAGATGTAAGAACTATCTCCAGATGAACTCATGGAAGCTCTGAAATAGCCAAAGCATTTCACCCAATCATCTTTTAAAAGAACATTCCAAAAACTCGATGTGTAGCTTTCCTATTTGACACATGCTAAAACTCACTATACGCAGATTGGATGACTGAATGATGATTTCATTTTGACTAAAAAACACTATAAATATCTTAGAGTTTTGTACCTTCTCACTTGTCTTCTTTTATTCTCACTTGCTACATGGAGAGATCTAGTGTTCGAGTTCTAAAGTCGTGTGTGGTCTAGCAAGAATCTAAGCTCTAGATATAAGATTCATCCCAAATCAAAGCAAAATGACATTTATATATTTCAATTATATGACTTACTTAATAGAATCTGACATTGGTGCAGATAATCGTATCCAATAATCTAATGTTCCTACTTTAATATTCTCATTTACTTTATTCATCTCTTTACTATTCATTGAATTATCTGGAGTAGAGATAAGGAATAAATCTAATTGACCATGCCGACGTATAACACTACCAGGACCAGGTAATTCTATAATGTCGTCTAAAATTGAATAGAATGAAGGGAAAAATCATTATTGTCAGTAACTAGTTGTTAGAATGTAACATTGTAGTGAATGAGAACACAAGTAGGGAACAACCAAAACTGCGGAATTACTTATTCAAATCTGAGAATCATACAGTAAATACTTCATTGAAAAAGTGTCAGTCAATCATCTTAAACTTCATTGTTTCTTCACTTCCACTCATTCTATTCTCTTCAATCTTCTTAACCTTCTGTCTTCAAGCATTTCACTTTCGATTGATGGTATATACTACTTATATTTATCGACATCTTACTTACGCCTGTTAACCCCAGTAGGTCATAGGCTGCCATCCAGCATTCTCCAACTCACCCTGTCCTGAGCCTTCCTTTCTAGTTCTATCCAATTGTTGCTTATTTTTTGCATGTCTTTCTCCATTTCTTAAAGTAACGTGTTCTTTGATCTTCCTCTTCTCCTTTGGCCGCCAGGATTCCAAGTGAAAGTTTGCCTTGTGAAGCAGTTGGGTGCTTTCCGCAATGTGTATCCTATCCACTTCCAGCGCTTCTTCCTGATTTCTTCGTCCGCTAGGATTTGGTTTGTTCCCTCCCACAGTAGGTTGTTGCTGACAGTGTCTTCGATCTTCTTAATCTTCTGCAACTAGATATTTCAGTTTCGATTGATGATACACATACTGCTTATACCTGTCGACCTATATCAGTAGGATACACCATATCATTTGTAAATATTGCAGAGTTTCCACTATTCTGGCATATATCTACTATGGTAATTACCTTATACAATATAAAAGACAATTTCAGTAGTTGTAATAACCAAGAAAAAAGAACAAGACCTTTTTGAATTCAATTCATTCAGTAATTGATTTAATGTTACAAACTGAAAATGAACAGTTTCTTTTTCACTGTTTAGATTATTTGATGAATTTCTCCGACATATTTCATTAAATTTTGAACTTAATATCGGAACATAGAAATTGTTGCCCTCAAATGCCCTGCTGCGACCGAGGTTGGAGAGAGTCAGCTCTCGCTCTCCAAATGCTCTCGTCTGACCACACTTACACAGTCACTGTGAGGGATGTCCTACTTAGTGCCTTCCCGCCATGGTGTGTCGTTGATGAATTTGAGAGGATGAAACGTGAATGTTCGGCGCATTAACCGGGTTAATGGACATGGGAGATGCACTCAGGGGAGTTGAAAAACCCTGATTGAAGAGTTCAAACACACATTTATCATTATACATAGTAAGCATTTTGCAGACATGAATGCATTGACGTGTTGTTGTTTTCTCCGTAGTGTAGTATGTATGTCCACTCTTCCTCTCGAAATGCTTTCACATGGCCACACGTATACAGTCAGTGACAAGGAAGTGCTACTCAGTGCTTCTTGTGGCGGCGGTCATCTTTAAGAAATCGAGAAAACGAAAATCGAATATCAGGCATTTTAACCAGGTCGATGGATATGAAGCATACCCCTAGAGAAGTTGGAAAACCCTGGTTCCACACCAATGATGCATATGAACTCTATGATTCTGAAGGAACAAGCAGCGTATAAACTTAATGTTAGTCACCGGCTACCATGGGACAGCGTCTCTCAACTTTGATCCATTACCTTGTGGATTTGACCCATAAGTTGAAGGCTCAGCGGGTGGCCCCTTTGGAAAACCATTTGCTTCGTTCTGGTCATGCGAGCAGTATCACAGCTCATACACAAATCAAGTGACTTGTGTGGCGTACATGCATTTGTCGCCCCTTTGTACCAATATTTATATGTTCAAATAAATGAAATAGTAAGTAAATAGAGTTCGTTATTCTATTTCATTCGTTTCTCAATGAAATGCATTTATAATTCACTAGAATACTTATCGTTTGATTAGTTACAAGATAACAATTAATGATGATCTATTTCTAATTATATATATACAAGGTGGCGTACTTGAATAACTGGATTACCTGTTCCTGCCATATAGATATTCCAACAAGTTATCTGTTTTCTTGTTTGTTCCTTCTAATACAACATAATGTTCATTAGTCTCATAACCTATTCAGATGCAGTTATGAAACATTTACGACATTTCGCTGTTCGACTTACAAAGAAGTACAATCACAGATATCGTGATTGCTAGCAATATACATCGAAAATGAATGTACATTATTTAGATGTTGATTGAATGGACTACTAACATCTGACTGGAGATCATTCAATAGTTATCGTCAGGATCGACTAAGAATTAAAAAACGGAAAATTATTAAAATACATTTTTCTGAGAATTCTATGTTAGACCACTGTTCGAAACCTGTGAGCACTGGAAGGCCGTTCCGTCCTATTGTGGGACTCCTCATCAGTGCGCATACACGATTCCGCCCGCTGGATTCCAACGCAGGGCTTTCAGTTTCACGCGCGAACGCTTAACCTACTTGACCGCTAAGCCAGGATCCAGTGGTATTAGTGTCTAACATCAATCAAACCATGGAATCGCGCTACCATCTTCCATTATACTGAGGTAGATACCTGTCTCTACCCCACAGGGATTAGCCCCACTGGTCACGGCTTCTCAATAGGACTTCGAGAATTTTCTCACTAAGCTAGTCACTAGTAAGCCCATGTTAATTATCAGTATAGAGGTTGTGGAGATTATCATGAATATCAGTTAAACCTAGCCTATAATGATAGGCTTTATAAAGAGTATTACCTGCTTGAATAATGATCTTACAATAACTGGAAATATTAACTGGAATGACATAAAGTATCAGTAGTAACGATGGCGATTGATAATTCCTTTCACTGATTGATGATAAACGTGGAAATTCAAATGAAAACCATTTTACGTCATGTTCTATTGGGAAATCTATTTTTAATGGTTGAATTCACGAGTCCCTAGACTACCACTGAGAACCTGAAATTACGAGATGACGGTTTCACCTTAGTATGGGGCTCAGAAGTTTACAACCACGACACCATGCGATGAACTCGAGTCCATGACCTTCGGTCACGTGAGCGGACGTCTAACCTCTAGACCATTGAGCTGGTATCCAGCAGTCCTAATGTCTAACTTCAACCAATCCATGATATCGCACGGCCGTTCACCATTGTCTTCAGTGAGTCACTTCCTCACAACAGACACGGTTGAACTCCACTGGTCACAGCTTCGTACTAGAACTCTAAGAAATACATTTTGAAGCCAATCACTATTAAGCACATGATGATCACTATCGGAATGACAATTTGTAGAAATTGTAATCATTTATTAGTTGAATTTACGCGTCGATCTAAGCCAGAACACCACTGGGAACCTGGAAGCATCCACAATTCCCCACATGGAACTCAAACCCAAGATCTTCGATCGCGCACTCTAGACCAATGAGCCAGCATCCAACGGTCGTCCATTCATGATATCAGTCTAAATATATCATCATTTTTATGATTAGAGATCCACTCAACGCTCGATTGTATTAGAAATTATTTAGTATAGCCTTCATACGTCCATTTTTATTCATCAACATAGATGATCTACCGTCATCATGACTTAGAAACATCTTTGTAGTCGTCGCAATCATCATTGATGTGTTTGGTGTACTTGATGAGATTTGCTGTCTTTGAAATATTGTCTTTAAAAAGAGGTCTGAAAATTTAATGAAGACGTTTCCTTAGTGTAATAACAAATCTTGGTTACTTATCACATTGATGAATAGATTTCGTAAACAGTTATTTTTCAAGATATGAATTAATTTTATAGTTGAATTCACGAGTCAATTGAAGCTAGATCACCATGGAAAACATGGAAGTACTGGATAAACATTTTGTCTTAGTATTGGATACCTCAGCAGTGCGCATCCACGATCTCGCCCCATGAGATTCAAACCCAGGACTTATAGGTCTAACGTGCGAACGCTTAACCTATAGACCATTGAGCCGGCATCCAACGGTGTTAATTTTCAATGCTTCCAGATGATCTAGCTTCAATTGATTGATGAATTCAACTATCTTCACAAAACCTCTCTCTGAATATGAATAAATAAGGGATTTATTTTACCTTTTCCAGTGAATAATTGTGAAAAATTAAGTTTTCCAATAGCGATAGTACGATAATTGGAATTGATAACTTGATGCATTTCTACAGTGCATGGTTCCTGGAATAAAGAATAAAGATGTTTTAAAGGTGACTAAATTGAATTATGAGCACACTTCTGTGAGATAGTTTGGTGATATACACATGAAGAGTTTATTGACTTCCTTTAAGCTAAAATTTTTAATTCATTATACATGAAGTGGCGTCGTCCTTCAGTGCACATATAGTGTACAAGAATACCAGTAGGGACAATCAAATATGACTGTTACTTCGTTTCTACAACAATCACTTTCTGTTCTCGTTCTCTTTTCTTTGATTTTCTCAACCTTTTGCCATCAGGTATTCCACATTCGATTGATGATACATACTACTTATATCTGTCAATATCAGTAGTACACATCACAAAAATACCTCAATCCTACAGAAGGTTAGTAAAAGTCTGGATAGATCACTGGGAACTTTACAGACATCTAAACTAGGTGACATGGATTTGTATCTACCAAGTATGATTTGTACCCTCAAAACCGTAGATATGCTTTATCAATGGTGTCAACTAGCACAAAACGTAGTATCGTAAAACATCTAGTTGTCAATAATCAGTAGTTACATCACAATGAAAAAGATAACTCTCGACGACTACAAACTGCTGGAAAATATATGCGCAAAAATCGGATGTATACTGTATAATATATACAGTCTCTATTGTAAATTATATGTCGCTTCTTACTTCTAAATGAGTAAACATTACAATTAAACTTCTGTATTATAAAAATATATATGGATAGTAACTGTTGGGATCTGTTTATGGATTAATACTATGAATATTCCTGTTCCTCCTATTATAAGCTTGATTTTTACCTATAGACCATTGTCATACAATTTACCGTTCTTGCGTTCTTCCCCAGTCTATTCATTACAGTCTATCACATTCACAACCGCTTTTGGCTAGATTTCATGGTATGATGTGGTCTGTTTGGTTTGTATATGAATCTAGTATATTTGAAATACATGATTCATATTGTAGTGGCTAAGGTTAGCGTTCTAGTCTCAACCATCAGACAGGGCTTGGTAGAAAGAAGGACCAATGAGTAACCTAGACTCCTCGTACGGGTTTTACGCGTCATTGGGCCGGTTGATAAATCACTGTTCTCTAATTGACGGTATAATTACATTTATACATGAATAGGGCTAAATCTTGTATGAATATTGTAGTGCAGTGTGATTTGTTTGGTTTGTATATAAACCCAGTATGTTTGAAATACACGGTTCATATCGCGTTGGCTGAGATGGATGTTATGGTCTTAACAAGTAAGGCTAGACAGGAAGAAGGACAGATGAAGATTCTATACTACTCGTATGAGTTTATGCATTATTGCACCGGTCAATAAATCACTGTTCTCTTATTGGCGGTATCATTACGTCGTATATTGATAGGGGTACAAAGCAACAAGTTATACCACTGATAAATTTCACCGTATAAAAAATCGATACAATACACATTTATGAAAAATGTACTGTATCTAACGAAAATTAAAAAAAAGAACATAATCATAATAATAATCACTCTCCCCCTCTACATCCCCTTCCCCCCCTCCGCCAAAAAGAAAGTTAATCAATCTTTCTTTCTCTATTTTACCTTAATTAAATAATTCATGAATGTATCATTCACTTCTATAGGATATTGTATTGTCATATTGAAATCAATTGAATCCTGTACAAGTAAAATGGATGTTGCTTGTGTTTCATAATCATAAAAATCCCATGTTAAAAATAATTGAATGAATTCTTCATTCTTATGATTATTATCATGATTCATATTAGATGATATTGTTGGATAATATTTCGATAGTAACGATGGTAACAAATATAATTGACCTATATGTAACTATGAGAAAAGAGTAAAAACAACAAACAAATAGAAAGTGTAATCTTTAAATTGAATCATTTATTTGATCATTATGTAATAGAATTGAGTAGAATGTTAGATTCGAGTTTGATTGATTGAAATAGATGATTGTTAAAGTTAATCGGGTCTGTTGTAAGATAGTAAATCACTGAAGACAATGATGGATGTGTCAGTTCAGTGGTAGAGTTGTTAAGCGTTCATGTGTGAGACTGATAGGTCTGGGGTTCGAATCTCGCAGTGTGGGATCGTGGACGCGCATAGCTGAGGTGTCTCATAGTAGAAAGAAATGACTGTCCAGTGCTTCCAAGTTTTCCATGGTGGTTTTGCTTCAATTAATTTAGGATCTCATCTATTGAAATTACTATAATATTCACAAAACCCCTTCTGATACTAATCAACATATGCTCACTAGTGACTATCGACAAAACCTAGAAGTACTGGATGGCCGTTCCGTCTTATTGTGAAACTCTTCACCAGTGCACATCCATAATCCCGCCTCACGGGAATCGAACCCAGGACCTATTGGCCTCGCATGTGAACGCCTAACCTTTGGAATACTGAACCGTCATCCAACGGTGTTAATGTATAACTTCAATCGATCCACGAGATTGAGCCACCATCCACTATTGTCTTCAGTGAGTTACTGTTTCGCAACAGACATGGTTTCTCACTAAAACTCCAGGAAAAAAGTCTTGGAGACAGTCACTAGTGAGCATATGATGATTATAATCAGAGAGAGGTTTTGTGGTTCCAAGTTTCCCATAGTGGCGACTGAGACGAGTACCTTACGATGAGATTAGAATGTAGTTACACAATATTGTGGATTGATTTAAGTTAAAAATATGAACTACTGTATAGTAATTCAGTGGTCTGAAGGTTATGTGGTCTCAGCAAAACCTGGAGAGTCTGGGTTCAATTCTCGGTTATGAGGTTGTGTATGTACAATAATGAGGAGTATTTGCTTAACTAAGATCAATTAGTAATGTAAACTGTGAAATTCATAAATCTCCATATTATCTACTCAGTCAGTCAGTTAGTCAGCTACAACGTAGGACCAGGTATATATATGCATCAGTCCAAGTTGCACCTACTATAGTAACGTAAATAGGAATTGAAGATCAGTAAGCTTTCTCACTGACTCTCATATTTAAAATGAATTATGAAATGCCTAGACTAGAGTTTAAATGAGAGAAACTTGTTTTTTGAATATATAGAGAAGGTTGATCATTTCCAGTGACTGGGTCATCTTCAAATCAAAGATTTAAAACTCATTTTAAGACAAGTGACTTGTTTCAATTGTTTCTCGTACAAATGTGATGTTTAGTTGACTTTTAAGTATTTCCTAATCATTTCAGTTACATACCAGGTTGGACTCAAGTACTAGGGTTGTCTATATCAGTATCTAATAGGAAGTACCATACAACGTAACACTTTCTTATTGAAATCATGGGTAATGTTAGTATAGTGTGAATCCCCTATTTTGACATTTAGTAAAAAGAATGAAGACATTTTATGATCTATTCGTTTTTATCATGGAAACTTCTAGTCTAAAACATATACTCAAAGATATATCATAACGTGCCCTCAAATTCCCTGGTACGGCCGAGAGTGGGGAGAGTCAACTCGCCCTCTCCAAATGCTCTCACATAGCCGCACGTATACAGCCACTGAAAAGAAAGTCCTACTCATTGCCTGCTCGCACTACCGGTGTTGTTTATGAAATTGAGAGGACGAAAAGCAAATGTCCGACACTTTAACCGACATAGTGGATATGGAGGATTCACCTAGGGGAGTTGGAAAACCCCCATTTCAAACTAATGGTGCACATGGGATCCAGGATCCTGAGGGAACAAATGGCGTATAAACCAATCGTTAGTGACCGGTTACCATGGTACTGCGTCTCCTGACGTTGCTCCACTACCTTGCGGATTAGACATTTAGGTCGAAGGTTCCCAAGTAAAACAACTGCTTTAGTTTTGGTACCCAGGCATTATCACAGCCCTCACATAAACCGAATGGTTTATGTGGCGCATATCTGTTTGGTGTTTACGTGTTTAAATAAATAAATAAATAATAGACATCCACTTTTACATACCTCAATTAAGCTTTCTCCTGGTTTTAAAGCATCTTCTGTTGTTAGCTTGTCATTCGAAAGTTGATCATTCTGTTAGATCGCAAAATGAACATTAAAAATGTAATGTAAATAAGATTTACACATAGTTATGTTTAGAATTATCACCCCCATGCACACACACATTTAAATAACTTATATACAATAAATGAATTACAGAGAGATGAATGTGTCGATGCCGATTCAATGGTCTAGAGTCTAAGTGTTCGCGCGCGAAACCGAAGGCCTTGAGTCCGAATCCCGAGAGTGGGGTCGCGGATGCGAACTGCTAAGAAGTCCCACAAAAACCTCTTCTGATACAATAATTATGTTCAGCACAACAATCATAATTCAATCATAGCAGTTACTGGAGTGTATACTATGTTAATCCGTCTAAATAAATAATTGCTGATATCATGTCTTGGTTTCGAAAATAGTAACCTTAGATTTTAGTCCAAAAGTGGATACCACTGAAGATGGATGATATAAAGCAAAACAAATTTCCACTTATCACTGGCTATCAATAGTTCGTAAGCTATTATCAGTCTGTGACTGAAGAAATTGTCCAAAGGGAACAAATTAACCATACATAATGTTTTCAATAAGAATGTGAACTGAGCTGCTTACAGTTAGAACGGAATAGAGACCAAGATTGGGTTTTAATTTGGTGAAATGTTCCGTTTAAAATGACTTGCTTTTAACTCAGTATGATGATTATTCACTTCACTAAAGAACGGTTTCAGGATTTTTAATAAAATCAAGAAACAATCTAAGTTAAATCACTAATGGAGAATAGGAAACACTGGATAGTCGTTTCTTCCTAGTATGGGACTCCTCAAGAGTATACACTCACGTTCCTGCGTGCGGAAATCAAATCCAGAACTTTTGATCTAGCGTGCTAACGCTCAATCTTTGAACCATTGAGCCGATAAGAAATTTCCGGAGTTCTAGTGAGAAGCCATGACCTGTGGTCGAAAAGATCTTGGATTGAATGAGGATAGACATTAACATCGATGGATCTAGGAGCAGTAGTCTATTGTTTGGAAGTTCGATCATGATACCGAAAGCCCTAAGTTTGGTTCCCGCGTGTGTGATCGTGGTTGCACACTTTTGGGTAATTTCATATTGAGACGAAAAGACTGTTTAGTGATTCCAGGTTTTGAATGGTAGTGTAAGTTAGATCAACTTATAACTTCAGTGAAATCCAACAATCTACACAACCTCATATTGAGGATTCGTGATTATCAGAGGAAGTTAGGCAAATTTTCAGAGAACATTTTTTAGATGGTAAGAGAGATAATACAGTGAACAAACTTAAATTCCTTACCACTTTAGTAAACCAGTGTTCTGGAACAAACCACACCATTATAATGTTACAGGTACAGAGTGAAGAAAGGCAGAAAACGTGAGTAATGAGTTTATGAGTCTGAAACAGTTGGTCTAATGAACTCATAAAAAACTCTGATAAATGGCCACTTTCTTCTTCCTCAATTCGTATGAATCTCAGATTATCACTGTTTCTAAGTTTATTTCCAAAGTTTTAGCAATCACCCTGCTATTTATGGATGATGTTCCGTTAGGATTTCTGGCCACTTTTTTATCTTTGTTCCAGATGACTGTTAATGAACCGAGTTTAAGAATATCGTTTGTACAAACGGACAAAGTAAAACACTTGAGCATAAGAAAATCTCTCCATTTTCATTGGAAGAAGAATCATCCTCACCGGTATTCAATTGATGATTCTGTAGGTACGACATTTAGTTTAACTTTTCAGAACATTTAAGGTTGTTTTAAAAACATTTGCAAAACCTAAGACTGGAATCGTGTATGGCGAGATTAGAATTTATGGACGAACCAATTACGTATAGGATAAGAGGTCTCGGATTTCGGAAAGAGATTCACTAATCTATTTGGGTAAATAGAGTTTTGGCATTATAGCTGATGTTAGTTCGTGATGAAAACCCTAAATCTAATTTCTAACCTTAATCACCAATTGTAAATCGTAATTCTAATTCCTCATACACTGGTTTATAACCCTCGTTTTGTCTTACATATTAGGTAAACACTTTTAAGGTCAGTCTGGCGTTGCTCAATGGTCGTCCATAAATTATAGTCTCACTATCGTGTATCACCATAAATGGGAAATATTCCAATCATGGTAAAATCATAATCCTAATTTCTAACGATCTTCTCATCTTATTAGGTTAGTGGGTCATCTCAAGGTCATCTTGAACTCTTTCAACGTTCTTCCACAAATTATAGTCTCAAAACGTTTTCAAATCAAAACTGATTATCTCTTCTCACAATCTGAAGGTCACTAATACTATCAACGTAAAGCTGATCTGTCATTAATGAACTAAAATAATTTACTGGTCTTACTCAGTAAGCACAAAAAAGTAAAAATTCATAACATTTATGATTATGAGCAAAGATGGATAGTGGATAGCAGTGGAATCCAGTTTGATGCGCGTCTTATCCTCTCCGAGACTGGTCAGCTGGATGTACCTGCATCTGAGTTGATGTACAATGAGGGACTCGAACCCAGTACCATTCACTTCAAGCTCCACTGCATTAACCACTCGACTAATGAGTCCTGATAGCCACCTGCTTGTGTGATGGAGTAAAGTTTAATTCACTTGACATTGTTTGTTTTTATCTTCCCATTGACGTTTAGGACTGTAAATGATCAACCTCTTATTGGAATATATGCATCCTATGCGAAAGGTACTAAGTTCGAGTCCCCTAGTGGACATCAACTTTGAGATGCAGGTAGATCTTGCTGACGAGTCTCAAATAAGACAAAACGTGCACCCTAGATTCTACTTCTAGTCACTATCCATCTTTGCTTACACTGCTTATGACTTTAGGCAATATTTAGGCAATCCTCACAAGATGTAATAAGTGACTGGTCTGTTGCAATCCTTAACATCGATAGAAAGATTCAAGCAAACAATAACAGGTGAATTTAAGTTTTTGATTAAGATCATGAACCGATTGATGTTAGACTACTATTGGAAACCTGGAAGCACTGGAAGGCCGTTTCGTCCTATTGTGGGACTTTTCAGCAGTGCGCATCCACGATCTCGCTCCAACCCAGGGTCCTCAGTCTCGGTTCGTGATCTCAATCAAAAGCCTAATAATCTCCACAACCCCTATACTGATAAGTAAATTTAAACTTTACCCCATTGCTCAAGCAAGTGGCTATCAGGACTCAGTAGCTAAGTAGATAACGTGATAGCGTTTGAAGCGAACGGTACTAGGTTCGAGTCCCGAAATGAACATCAACTCTAGGATGTCGATACATCCAGCTGATGAGTCTCAAATGGGACGAAACACTATTCATGGATTTCATTGCTATCCACTATTCATCCTTCCTTACATAGCTTGTGACTTAAAGCAATATCGAGTCAATCCTCACAGTATTCACATATGCCAATGAATAACTGATCAATAGCAATCCTAAAGATCAATCGAAAGATTCAAGCAAACGATAACAAGTCAATCTAAACTTCACCTCATCGTACAAGAACGTGTCTATCAGGACTCAGTAGCTAAGTAGATAACGTGATAGAGTTTGAAGCGAACAGTACTGGGTTCGAGTCCCAGAATCATCTCAGTGCTAATGTGATATAACAACTCGAATTGATGTACGTATGTACGAAGTTCTACGTTGTTATTGACTGACTGACTGACGAGTCTCAGAATGAACATCACCTCTAGGATGCCGATACATCCATCTGATGAGTCTCAAATAGAACGAAACGCTAATCATCTAAGACAATATCGAGTCAATGCTCATAAGATTCACAGACTGATCCATTTGTAATTGTATAAACCATCAATAGGAACAAAATGATACTTACCTTGTATTTATTCAATGTACCATAAGTTAAATCACGTAATTGATTTTCTAATTGTTTTATTCGATTCGAACGTATCTCTAATAATTTTCTATGTTCCATTAAACGTTGTTCTGATTCTAATTTTAATTCATTTAACTGATCAGTTAATTGTTTAATTTCAATTTGATAATCTTTATTAATTTTATATTGAACACTTAATAATTTACGTGTTTTCTCTAATTCATTAATTGTATCCGCATGTAATACTTCCGCTTCATTAAGTTGTTTCAATGGATCTAAAAAGAAAAGATTGTCCAATATAACAAAAGATGTAACAATTGAATCATAATTGATGGGAGAAGATTTGAATGATGTAAACATCTGTTGAGTCGGCATTCCAAGAACTGCCTCCAGAGGCTCTAAAGGAACCGAAGAGTCCTAGCCAATGAAAGCATGATGGAGCTTTCTAGGATGTCAACGTGGCGTGCTACTATTGGTCAGTAGCATAATATGTCTTTTAGCGGATTGACCAAAATATGATGTTGATTTTATAAATGTTAACATTTATAGATACCCGTGTTTTTCTGTACAAAAATGAATCTTTGGATTAAAGTGTTTTTCGCTTATTTTGCGCTATTTCTATCGAGTTCAGTTCGCTGCGTAGTTCTAGCTTGGGGGTTACCAGAATAACTTAGGAACCGAATAAAGTGTTCAAATTAACAGGACTTATCAAAATCTTTAGATATCTGAGCGGTATGATTGATGAACACAGCGGATCTGATATAAATGTGAAGATGTGGATCGGTAAAGCAAGAGCAGTATATTTATAATTGAATAATATCTGGAATTCAAAATAACAAAACTCAACCAACATCAAAGTCAGCATTTTCAATACAAATGTTATGTGAACAGGGAAACAAGAAGCCCTGACAAACTACGAAAGCTATTTCTTTTCGGGACGTTATTCCATTTTATTCAAAGCTTGTAAAACACTGACATTTATTTTTGTCTCTAATCTATTCGTTTATGTTGATGCTTACTCAAAACAGCCGGAGATCCTTCCTATAAATCAAATCACTTCGCAAGAGACTATTATGGAGTTACGGCAGTCATTCTCCCGCTTTGGAGTCCCAGATATCCTTATGTCAGATAACGGCACTCAGTTTTCTTCTCCCATCTTCTCAGATTTCTGCAACAGATTTGGAGTCAAACGTGTTCGTTCACCTCCATATCATCTACAATCGAATGGTCAAGCCGAAAGGTTTGTGGATACCTTCAAAAGAGCTCTACTGAAGGCAAAAGGGGAGGGAAAGATAAAGGAAATTCTTAATGATTTTCTATTGGTCTACAGAACAACTCCAAACCCATCAGCACCAAATCAAATGTCTCCAGCAGAAATTATGTTTGGTAGAAAAGTTAAAACTGTTCTCGATGCTATAAAGTCAGAGCAAAATGGAATAGGAAGAAGAAACCGAAAGATGGAAATCCAATTTGATCGCCATCATGGGGCGAGACGTAGAATCTTCCAAAATAATCCAAAAGCATACGTTCGTGGTTTCTGATACTCACCTCCTCAATGGACAAGTGGGCGCATACTTAAGAGACGAGGAAATGTAATGTATGTGATGGAAGTTGAAGGTCGAAAGTGGACACGTCATGTTAACCACATACTGGAAAATTTTGGAACTTCACATAAAACTGAGAAACTGGGCTCAATGTGGAAAATGTTTTTGGACAGTTTCGATGTAAAAAGTTCAGCGACTCAGAAAACTGTACAACCTAAACAAAATCCTATTGAGAGATCATTACGGAAACGTAGAAGACCAGACATTCTGCAAGTGGACTTAAAGAGAAGAGCAAATGTTTCTGACGGAAAATATCAATCGTCATATCTTAGCTATTACTTGTACCTAGTAGCTAACCATTTTTCTTTTTTCTATTTATTTCAGTTTACCAAATCGGTCACGCTATACAAGGATCACAACGTCAACCAGTTTCACTTATTTATGCACTCAGTTGAATGGCAGTTATAACTATTTTTGTCAATTATCAGTATGGGGGTTGTGAAGATTGTTATGTTTTTTGATTGAGATCATGAACTAATTGATGTTAGACCACCGTTGGAAACCTGGAAGCACTGGACGGCCGTTTCGTCCTAGTATGGAACTCCTCAGAAGTGCGCATCCACGATCCCGCTCCCCGCGAGATTGTCAAGGTAGAAGATGCTGTGAACAGGGAAACAAGAAGCCCTGACAAAATACGAAAGTTATTTTTCGGGACGTTTTTTTGATTTTATGCAAAGCTTGTAAAACACTAACATTTCTTTTTGTCCTTAATCTATTGTACAGAACATAAACTTTCGTTCGATATATGATTCATTCCCATACCCTTTTTTGTTTCGAAGCTATTGTAATTTAAACATATTATTTTGCACCCTATTTCCTACGCTAATTCCCGGCTTTGGACACAACTGTATTGTTCCCAATTATCTTATGTTGTGGTCGGGTTATTCACTTATTTATTCATGTATCTTTCTTTACCCTGATCTGAAATCGGTAATAGATCGAGTAGTGTTCCAGTTGTCTTGTGTTCTATCACTCGCGTGCTTGTCAGCCAATCAGGTGACAGGGTAGTTTTCTTCTTTCTACCCCACTTCGAACTCACGCGTACTAGCCTCAAGGTTAGATCGGTCAGCTTATCGCGCCAAGATATTAATCTGAATGAGATAAATATCCTCAGCATCAAAAGTGGGTAGACAGCCCAAAGACATAACAAAATGTCAAGACAGTTCTACTGTCTACTCGGGCAGAAACTTGAAGAACTATGAATGCCACCATCCAGAAAATACAAGTGTTTATTAACAATTTTCTACGCAAAATATTTCAGATCCGTTGACCAGACATTATCAGCAACAACCAGCTGTGGGAAAGAACGAATCAGATCCCAGTGGAGGAAGAAATGCTGGAAGTGGATAGGACATACATTGAGGAAAGCGCCGAACTGTGTCACAAGACAAGCCCTCACATGGAATCCTTATGTTCAAAGGAGAAAAAGAATATGAAAGAATACATTGCTGAGAGAAATGGAGACAGACATGTGAAGAATGAACAAGAATTCGATGGAAGTAGAAAAGAAGGCCGAGGACAGAGTGGGTTTGAGAATGCTGGTCGGCGGCCTACCCTGCATTGGGAGTCACAGGCGTAAGTAAGTAAGCAAGCTAAAGTTAAGGTCAATCATGTTATCTATTTCAACTGTGTTTGATAATTGAAGGTTAGAATTAACTATCAATTGAATGTATAATGATGCCTAGATTATTTTAATCGAAAGAATAATGTCTTTAGTTCACAAAAAACATTAAAAAAACTTCTACCTGAAGTTTGTGTTGATGATGTCGTTCAGAAGAACGATGAAAAGCTCCACAACCAAATCATTCAGCTCAGAGAACAAAACTTCATCGAAATAAGCATCATAATAGTGATTACGTCACATGCTACTACGTTCATATGTGTACGAATACAATTGCCTATGGGGTAGCAATTGATATTTATATGTTAATTAGATCGAATTTTGTTGTGAATAGATTCTTCCTATAAAAAGAAGATCTATGCTAATTGGTTAGATCTAATGTTTATTACATAACACTTCAACTGTAACTCTATGAACAATTGGAAGGAAGGTAAAAGAAATCTTATAAGGATAATGTATTGGTGAAGACCCTAGACGAACTAACTTCAGTCATTCAGCTACAACGTAGGACCAGCCACATATATACATCGTTCCAGGTTGCCATACCGCATTAGCACAGAAAGATGAACACCGGATTCATAGGAGTGGTTAGGTCAAAGGTGGTAATATATAGGAGAAAGATTGCATATAAGGATATAGTATAGGAAGAAAGAATTAGTTAATAGAATGAAAGATATGAAGTGATTTTAATCTCTTAGTTTAAAAGAAGACAGGGAGTGTATACACCTACGCCATTGTGATCGATTCTGAGCCATGTCACCAAGAGTCTCCAACCATCGGTTACGAAAGTCACGCGAACCCCAACCAAGTAGTCTGCACCTACGAATTAACTTACGCCTGTTACTCCTCATAGAAGAGCATCGGCCTCTCGCCAGGATTCTCCGCTTGAAGCTCCTCTAGGGCTACTGCCGTTCCCAAGCCCGGGTAAAAGAGGACAACAGGTATGGAGGTTGGCAACCACATCCGATAGAAAACAACCTTGCTAAAAAACAATGCTAACCAGAAAATTTCTAACAGTTATTTCAATAGTCTATAATTGTCATTTGAACAACTCTCCTAAGTGGTAATTGAAATGGTATTCCTTACAGTTTTCTTAACAGTTCACTAATATCCACATATTAGAACTATTATCAATAAACTTACCTTTGTTTTGATCCAATAAATTCGGTAATAGATCATCATTGACTGATTGAGATTTCGATTTACGCTCTCGTAAGATCATAATGGCATCTTCTAATTCTTCAACAGTGAATCCAGTAATCTACATGAAAATTAATTAAAGAGAAACAAAATATTCATTGTTTCAGGTTGTGTGCGTATTGTCTCAATATTGCCTTAATTCAAAAGCATTCTAAGCAAAGATGAATAGACGCTAGTAGTGGAATCCAAGGTGAGCGTTTCATCCTTTGCTTATAATGTTTGTGAATTAAGGCAATATCGAGGCAATAGCCACAGTATGCACATATGCCAACAAGAGACTGATCAATTGCGGTCGTAAACATCAATGGGAAGGTTTAAACAAATAATACAAAATGAATTTAAACTTCATCCTATTGCACAAGCTAGTGGCTAACAGGACTTTGTAGCTAAGTGGATAATGCAATCGTGTTTGAAGTGAACAGTACTGGGTTCGAGTCCCAGGGTGAACATGAACTCTAAGATGCAGATACATCTAGATGAAGAATCTCGAATAGGACAAAACGCTCGTCAAACTGGATTCGACTATTAGCCACTATCTATCTTTGCACTTAAATAACTGTTGAAAATCCTGCGTTTTTTAGCGAGTTAGTTCTCTACGGGATGGAGTCGCTAGCTCCATGCTCAATCCTTCTCCTTTATTCAAGCTTGAGCCCGGCAGTAGCCACCGAAGAGACTCCAGGCGGAGTTCTGCACGATAACAGGAGATGAATTGCAAAATAAATTGTAATGTACATTCTAAACTTTGAACTAGTAAACTCTTTTAAATATTACCATTAAAAACTTGAGGAAAAACGAACGTAATCATATTTATTCAAACGGATTTGTGAAGATTGTAGTCATTTTGATAGTTGAATTCTTTGAAAGTAATGAATAACCATTTCGTCCAAGTATGGTATTCATCATGATTCATGAATTCAACTATTAAAAATGACTAAAATCTCTACAACTTCTCACTCTAATAATAATCATATGCTCATTAGTGAATAACTTCAGAGATAGATTTTTTAGAGTTCTAAGAAGAAGTTATGACCAATGGAAGTCAATCCGTGCACATGATTGTGAATTGATTGAAACTACACATTAACATCGTTGGCTACTGGTTCAAGGATCTAGTGGTTAAACATTCTCATATGAGATCAAAGAATCTAGGTTCAGATCCAGAGTAACGGATCATGGATGTGTATTACTGAAGAATCTCGTACTACGATGAAACAGATGTCTAGTGTGTTGTGTTGTCTAGCTTAGATCAAATCATAGATTGAACTATGCATAAAATTCATTTATATTCAAAGTAACTATCTCTACTTGTGCAAACATTTGTGTTGTTGTTTTTGTTCCTGTTAATTGTTCAGTTGAATTGTTTTGTTTCATTGGAATACTTTCTAATTGATTTGATTGTTGTTTATTTAGTATAATTTCTTCTTCAATGGATTGTTTCCTTGTGTTGTTGTTGTTGTTGAGGGCGGTGGTGGTGTTGTTGTTGTTGTTGTTCAGTTTGATTTAATTGTTGTTGTAAATTATGTACCATCATTTCTAAATGATCAATTTGTCCACGTAATTTCTGTTCTTTCATTGTCCAATTTTGTTCAGGTTTAATAGAAAATGCACTAAAATTGAAGAAGTAAAAGACAATCGTCAAATTGTATAACAAAAATAAAGACACTATTTCTACAATGAAAGAACATATGGAACTCAAAGTAACCATCTTTTAACTAATATTAAAATTAGAATGGACTCCGTAGACGTCCAACTTCGTGACCAACAGACTGGATTCCGTAAGGATAGATCGTATAAAGACCAAATCGAAACTCTACGGATTATTGTGGAACAATCAATTGAATGGATTTCATTACTTTATATCAACTTCATTGACTATGAGAAATCATTTGATAGCGTGGACAGAACAACACTATGGAAGCTTCTTCGACACTACGGTATGCCTCAGAAGATAGTCAATATTATACAGAATTCCTATGATGGATAAAACTGCAAAATCCTGCATGGAGGACAGTTGACAAACTCGTTCGAAGTAAAGACCGGTGTCAGGAAAGGTTGCTTACTCTCACCCTTTCTCTTTCTCCTGGTGATCGACTAGATCATGAAGACGTCAACATCTGAACGGAAACACGGGATACAGTGGACTTCTGGGATGCAACTGGACGATCTAGACTTCGCAGATGATCTGGCTCTTCTATCACACACACATCAACAAATGCAGGAGAAGCCAACCAGTATAGCAGCAGCCTCATCAGCAGTAGGTTTCAATGTACACAAAGGGAAAAGTAAGATTCTCCGATACAACACAGCATGCACTAATGCAAGCACACTTGACAGAGAAGATTTGGAAGATGTAAAAACCTTTACATATTTGGGCAGTATCATTGATGAACAGGGTGGATCTGATGCAGATGTGAAGGCAAGGATCAGCAAAGCAAAAGCAGCGTATTTACAACTGAAGAACATCTGGAACTCAAGACAAATGGCAAGCAACACCAAGGTCAGAATTTTCAATACAAATGTCGAGACAGTTCTACTGTATGGGGAGGAAACTTGAAGAACTATGAATGCCACCATCCAGAAAATACAAGTGTTTATTAACAATTGTCTACGCAAAATACTTCGCATCTGTTGGCCGGACACTATCAGCGATAACCTACTATGGGAGAGAACAAACCAGATCCCAGCGGAGGAAGAAATCAGGAAGAAGTGCTGGAAGTAGATAGAACACACATTGAGGAAAGCACCTAACTGCATCACAAGACAAGCCCTCACATGGAATCCTGAATGGCAAAGGAAAAGAGGAAGACCAAAGAACACATTACGCCGGGAAATGGAGATAGACATGAGAAGAATGAACAAGAGTTGGATGGAACTAGAAAAGAAGGCATAGGACAGAGTGTGTTTGAGAATGCTGGTCGGCGGCCTATGCTCCAATTGGGGTAACAGGCGTAAGTAAGTAAAGTAAGTAAAACTTGAATCTTCAATACGAATATTAAGACAGTTAGTTTTAATGTAACGTGGAGAACTATTCTAACCATCATCAAAGAAGGTACAAGTATTTATAAATAATTATCTATTCAAGATACTCAATGTTTGATGATCGGATATCATTATCAGAAGCTAACTTCTGTGAGAAAGAATAAACTAACTTCCAGTTGAAGAGGAAATTAGGAAGAAAACGTTAGAGGTTGATAGGACATACATTGAAGAAATCACCAAACTGTATCATGAGACAGTCAACAACTTGGAATCCTGAAAGGAAACGGAAAAGAGGAAGGTCAAAGAACACACTACGCAGACATGAGAAAGATGAATAGCAACTGAAAAGAACTGGAAAGAATTGTTTAGGACAGAGTTGAATGTGGAATGCTGGTGATTGACCTATGCTCCTCGATGAGTTGTAAAAGGCGTAAGTAAGTTTAGATAGTCACTGAAAGATATGTAAATCTTAAGATTGACATGTTTGTATATAATTAAAATGTTTAGGGGTAACATAAAACATCTTTCCAATATTTCCCTATTTCTCAATGTTGATTGTCACTTTTTCAAAACCTCTTTGAAATGAACTATTGTCCTAAGAAATGGAATCAGTTCGCTATAGACGATTTGTATATTTATGTTTCTGCCACTTCTTTTAGTTAGATAAAGCGATTTAAATGTTGATAATATTTATACTAGTATAGGGGTTGTGGAGATTATTAAGTTTTTGATTGAGATCTTGAACCAATTGATGTAAGACCATCACAATTGAAAACCTGGAAACACTGGACGGCCGTTTCGTCCTATTGTGGGACTCCTCAGCAGTGCGCATCCACGATCCCGCGAGCGGGATTCGAACCCAGGGCCTTCGGTCTCGCGCGCGAACGCTTAACACATATATCTTTAGTAGATGAAGTTAGTATTGATTAATGAACCATTGATAAGAAATGAAGTCATTGATAGCTATTTGATCTTACATCCGGACCCCCCCCCCAAAAGTTCATACTCAAAACCGGTTCTTAAAATAGAACCTAACACAATATCACTGAATTACTGGTCAGTCAGACCTATACCTAAATTAATTAATAGTTGTTTTGATTGTCAGAAGAGCTACCAACCTCGTAACTTCCGAAGGAACTTGGCTTTCAACATGAGGTGTTATAACTCTTCTAAATGAAGACCTTCTAACTCCCAAGGAAGAGTTTAAATAGGCTGAATTACTTTTTTCTGATTAGTCTTTATTTAGCAAACTAGTTTTTTACGGGATGGGGTCACTAATCTTACGTCAAACCCTCCTCCTTTATCCTGGATTGGGACCGGCAGTAGCCTCAGAGGGTCTCCATGCGGAGTTCATTACGACCTACATTATGTAATGATCATCTAGTTGACCGTTTTTTTTGTTTCCCACTCGTCAACTTAGTTAAGACATTTTAGTATTTAACATTGTAAAAGAAAGTGATCACTTCGGTCAGCTTAGTAAATATTTAATAATTATCATTATATCCTCACTAAAGACTAGCTTCAAGAGGTATTTCCTGGAGTTCTAGTGAGAAACTATGAACTGTGAAGTTCAACTATGTCCGTTGCGAAGAAGTAACTCACTGAAGACAATAGTGGACGGTGATGTGATTTCGTGGATTGATTGAATTTAGACATTAACACCGTTAAATGTCGGTTCAGTGTTCTAGAGGTTAAGTGTTCGTGCACGAGACTGATAGATCCTGGGTTTGAACCCCATGTGTGGGATCCTGGATATGAACTACTGAGGAGTCCCATACTAGAACGAAATGGTCGTCCATTACTTCCAGGTTTTCTATAGTGATCTATCTTAGATCGACTCATCAATTCAACAATCAAATTAAGTATTATAATGATGTATAAATCATGATAGAACATAAAAACAAGTACCAATAGAAATGTTTAGAATTACATTGAATGTGCAAGACTAACAATTATAAATCGAACACAAACACACACACACACACACACAGAGAGAAAGAGGAAGACATCTGAAGTGCATTTGTGGTTTAGTTGATTGAATCATTGAACATGGTGTATGACAACATACAAAGTTCTTTGACAACAATAAACTTAATAAAAATTTACATGTTCTCCGATCTATTCATAAAATAAAAAGTTTAAAAAAGAAATTCTTAGATATTCTCTCATGAATTCAATTGATGTAGTCTATTATTCAGTTATATTTTGTTTTGTATACGAAGACTATGAATAATTTTAATCCTTACAATTGATGAATCACTGGGTGATGCATGAGCAATATCATGTATGTCAGGTCCTTCTTAATGTATATCGAATCTTATTGACCAAATCATCTAGACTAGTGGCCACAACGTCTCTGATTGTGAAGCTGGATGACACGGGATCCAAACCGTCAAGAAGCATCAATCCTCTCAAGATTACAGCTTATACCTTGCTGACAAGTGTCAAGTAGTACGAAACCTAGGTCTAGGGTTTCCTATGAACTAACTCCAACCACCATCTTATAATTCTAGTCTAATTATCTAACATCTGAGCATAGTTTACATGATGTTTAGTTAATTAAACTAGTGGTTATATTATAACTTGATCGACAAAATTCGATCACTATTAAGGATCAGATATTGATGACACTAGTGATTGGGAGAAAATTAAAAGTTGAATCGGGATCATGGATTCGCACTGACGAGGAATCCTATATTAGAACGAAATGGCCATCTAGTGTTTACAGGTTTTCCATGATGGTCTAGTTTAAATAGACTTATGATACCAACTGTTAAAAATTACTAAAAATTACTGACCGGATCTGAAGACTGAAGACAATGGTGGACGGTGGCATAATTTCGTGGATTGGTTGAAATTAGACATTAACACTGTTGGATGCCGATCAGCTCAGTGGTTTGGAGGTTAAGCATTCGCGCATGAGACCGATAGGTCCTGGGTTCGAATCCCGCATGCAAGGTCGTGGGTGCGCATTGCTGAGAAGTCTCACACTAGAACGAAATGGACGTCCAGTGCTCCCCGGTTTTCTATGGCGGTCTAGCTCTAATTCACTTATGAATTCCTCTATCAAATTGCTATAATATCCACAAAACGATTTTCTGATTAATAAATAATTGACGAATGATATGAAAAAAAAAAGGAAAATAGTAGACATTCTGGTCGAAGATGATGAAATATTCGTATTCCACATTGAAAAATCTTCGATCATAGGTGTAGTTATTCTTTGTTTGGATTGTAATCTCTAATAGGGTCATGACTGCGTAGTACCAAACATTTCCATAGTAGGATGAAACAGGTATCCATAGCTTTTTTCTACTCTTAGTTTACTATTACCAACAGTATGACAAGTATTTCCGGCTGCACTGTCTTAAATCTAATTAGATCTAATAATCTTAAGGAAGTTACGAGCAACAGCTTTAAGTTAATTTGTAGTAACTTATGTCTTTCAAAGACCGTATCTCTGCTCTATAAGTACTATCGCTGACAGCGGAATCTAGGATGCAGATTTCATTCGATTTAGGACTTGTCACTTCAGTATGATTGAATACCAATGTTTTCTTTTCAATCGAGGAAATCCGCTTAAGCTGAATATGTGCGAATAGGAATTGATCGATTCTGATTCTTGATATTAACAAAGGTGAAATGCAAACTTTCATTGATAACCTCATACTGTTGTTCTGAACAAGAACAAAAGTGGAAGCAACTACTACTACTACATACTACTATCTGTTGACATAAAGAGTCTAACTAGTCGACTAAATCATACTGATTTCCTCGTAATCTCACAATTATCGTTCAAAATACATTTTCTAAAATTCTAAGGAGAAGCCTAAATCAGTGGAGTTTAACCATTTCTTGAGTAAGAAAGATATACACTACATTCATTGGCAGCACGTTGCACAATATCAAGCATTTATAGAAATCTGATATGTACAGCATTAGAAGCTAGCTTAATGGTTTGAAGGTTATGCACTCAGACCGAAGGTCCTGGATTCAATTTTACATGGTGAGGTTGTAGATCCACACTTACGGAGAACCTCACAGTCTTAATTAGATCGAATTGTGATTTAAGCTAGGAAGAGGCTTAGTTAAATAAAGTTTAACTGAGACCGTCAGCCGATCAATGCTAAACCACCACCACCACTAAATTGATCGATTCATGATTTCAATGAAACTTCAACAATCTTCACAATCGTATACTGATAAATAAAATTTACTTTGCTATAAGTTTTTCATTTGATTCTTTAAGTGCTTGATTTTCACGTTTTGCATCATCAAATGCATACTGAAGCTACAAATGAGAAAAAAGAAACAAATGAATATTTGAAAAAGTTTTTGTGGATATCATAGTAATTTCAATAGTTGAGATCATGATTCAATTGAAGCTGGACCACAATGGAAAACTTGAAAGCACTGGACTGTCGTTCCGTCCTATTGTGAGACTCCTCGGCGGTGCACATCCACGATCCCACATCGTGAGATTCGAACCCAGGACCTATTGATCTCGCGCGCGAAGGCTTCACCTCTAGACCACTGAGCCGATCAGCATCAAACGGTGTTAAGTGTGATTTCAACTAATCCATTAAATTGAGCTACATATCCACAATGGTGGTCTAGCCTCAATTGACTTATGATCTCAACTATTGAAATGAATATTTATCAAGATTCTCTTGTAGATGAACATTTAAAAGAACAATCAAATAATATGGTTGCCAAGGTGATTATGTAATTATTAAACGTTTTTTAATTATGCTAAAATCTTACTAGCAATGGTGACCAACAAAGAATGGTTCTTTGGTTTAGCTTTTCTTATCACCCTTACTTTCTTTTTCCAATTGATTGGCATTACTTTGTGTTCGCTTAATTTACTGTACTTCAATCAATGCAGGTTTAAAAACTATTTACTTGTTGTGTTTCTGTCACTCAAAATTGTACGCCAATAGTTGTATTCTTGGTAAATATGATGATACTTAGACATCATTGGTCACTTTACACATCTGACATTTCAGTGACTCAATGTACTTGTTTTCCATTCCTGTTGTGATTCACGTTTGATTACGCCAGTAGATGATGTATGCACGTCTACAAATCTACAAAAGATATTCATTTCTTCCATTCCTTGATCTAATTCATTATAATTACTGAATACTTAATGTATTCTTAGTTAGGTTTAGGTATAAGGATTAGTATTATTACTATCATTACATCAATGTACCTAGTCACATCAAACTAGATTCAAATAGAAAATCACTGAACGAAATGTTTATCGTCCTAGTATGACAACTGATTGGTGAGACCTTTGAACAATGCTACAGTGACCGTGAGAGTATCCACCTAGTAACCAGTACCAAATAAAGGTTATAAACCATTGTAAGGAATTAGAATTATGATTTACAGTTGATGGTTAAGGTAAAGAATTGGATTGAAGGTTTTTCATCATGAACTGACATCAGCTATAATGCCAAAACTTTATTCAGCCAAATCAATGAGTGAATTTCGCACCAAAATCTAACACCTGTTATCTTAAATCTGATTGGTTTAGTCCATACATTATAATCTCACTCAAAATCATATCTCCAAATCTGATTGGTTGTTCAACATCACTTGTATATATATGTTCGTTCTGATTGGTCAATTAAATATCTAAGCGCAATATTCAAATTCAGGAATAGATAAATAAATAAATAAATATTTACTTCTAAAATTTTCAATTGTTGTTTTGATGCTAAATTATTATCAGATTGTAAATGAAATAATTTTTGTTCTAATTGACTTGATTCACGTGTTAAACGTTCAATTTCATTAATTAATTGATGATTTGTTGATTTTAATATATTATAATTGGATTCTGATTCTTTAATACGTGATTCTAAATTATTAATGATTAATTGTTTTTCACGTAATTCTCTTTGTGTACGAATTAAATCAAGATTTTCTTGTAAAGCAATTCTAAAGTTTAAAGATTGAAAGAAAAAATCAACATACAGGATTATCAGAATGGGTTTTGTGGAGATTTTAGAAATTTCACTGGTTGAAATCATGAGCCAGACTACCATGGAAAACTTGGAAGCACTGGATGACCGTTTCGTCCTAGTATGGGACTTCCTAGCAGTGCGCATCCACGATCCCGCTCACCGTGAGGTTCGAACCCAGGACCTACCAGTCTCACGCCAGGCGCTTAACCAACTAGACCACTGAGCCGGTCGGCATCCAACGGTGTTAATGTCTAACTTCAACCAATCCACGAAGTTGCGCCAGCGTCCACCATTGTCTTCGGTGAGTTCCTGTCTCACAACAGACCCGGTTGAACTCCACTGGTAATGGCTTCCCACTAGAATTCCAGGAGTATCTCTTGAAGTCAGTCACTAGTGAGCAGGTGATTATTATCAGAATGGGTTTTGTGAAGATTTTTAGCACAATGGATTAAACTGATTGAAAGAAATTAATAGATATTAGTATCGAACTCAAAGTGAGTTAATCTATATTGAAGAGAATCAGTAAGAACCAGGCGATATTGGACAGCCTCTTGTTTCGTCTGTGTTTAAGATTCCTTAACATTCCATACTCAAGATCCTGCAAGGGATAGATTTCAAGATTTTTGGATTATTGGGATTGTAGAAATTATTAAGTTTTTGATTGAGATCATGAACCGATTGATGTCAGACCACCACTGAAAACCTGGAAGCACTGGACGGCCGTCTCGTTCTGTTGTGGGACTCCTCAGCAGTGCGCATCCACGATCCCGCTCGCTGGACTCAAACCCAGGGCTTTCGGTCTCGCGTGCGAACCCGATACGAGCTTCGTGAACGAATTCTTGGAGTTCTGGTAGAAACCAGTGAAGTTAATCCATGTCGGATAGAGACAGGTATCTACCTCAGCACAATGGAAGATGGTCGTTTTATTTCTTGGATTAGTTGAAGTTAGACATTAACACCGCTGAATACCGGCTCAGTAACCTAAAGGTTGTGTGCTCGCCCGCGAGACTAAAGGCCTTGGTCTCAAATCCCGCAAGGTGAGATCATGGATGCACAACCTTTACGAGTCCCAGAAAAGAGCAAGACAGCCGTCCCATCGTTTCATGATCTCAATCAATAACAAAATTGAATGACAAACATTCTTTCTTGTCTTCTTAGAAGAACAAAATGGGTACTTCTTTCCTTTATAAAATCACCTTTGTTTTGATGTGACTTGTTCACCAAGTGTAAATAAATCGTTTGTATGAATTTTCTCTTTCATTTGTAATTCTTGTTTTAATTGATTAATTAATTCATCACGTTCTTTTAATTGTTCAGATAATTTTTGTATAGTTTTTTCACTAAATTATAAAAACAAAAAAAACATTTGTAGAGATCATTAGATTTTTATTATTTGTATTATGATGTGTACTACTGATGTCGATAGATATATAAGTAGTATGTGTAGCATCAATCGAAAATGAAGTGTCTGGAGGCAGAATGTTGAGAAGATTGAAGGAAAAAGAATGACAATAGAGAATGATTAGTGTGGAAACCAAGAAGCAATGACGTCTGAGACGATTGGGCCCGTCAACTGAATGTGCTTGCATCCCAGAGTCAATGCTCACTATAGGACTCAAACCTAGTATCTTTGCTACCAAGATACCCGTTCTCTAGCTTGTCCAATGGAATAAATTTTATGATCAAAATTCAGTCCTTAACATTAACAATGATATTAGTTGAAGCTTTTTGTATGGGTACTCATATTGTGGTATGTGCTACTTATATCGACAGATATAAGTAGTATGTGTATCATCAGTACAAAGTGATATGTCTGGTGGTAGAACGTTAAGAAGATCGAACGAAAGAGAACGAGAACAAAGAATGAATAATGCTGAAACGAAGAGACAATGAATTCTGAGACGATTGATTGACATTTTGCAAATGAAGTATTTACTATATGAATGTCAGATTTTACTAAGAGATCCAGTAATATTGTGTTCAAATGCATTCGATTGTCCCCACTGGTGTTCTCGTTCACTACATTACCACTAAATGAGTTTATTAGGATAGCTATTGAAACTGAAGAATCACTGGAAAACTGTTTCGTTGTAGCATGAAATCAATTAGCAATGTAAATCACTGGATATGGATTGAGTGATTTAAAGGTTAAGCACTGATTTAAAGATCTGGAGTTCTCATTTTTAACCTGTTGTATGGCCCTTATTGGGCACTTGTGAAGAGTTCTGTTGTAGGTTGAAACAAATGTTCATCATTTATTTATTTGAACACATAAACTGTGGTACATACAGGCACCAACTATATATGCGCCACCTAAATCATTCGATTTGTGTGAGGTTTGGAATATTGTCCGGGTGCGCAGGCCGATGGTTTTCTTAGGAGGCCACACCTCGAGCCTTTGATCCATAGGTCTAATACACAAGGCAGAGGAGCAACGTCGGTAGATGTAGTCCCATGGTAGCTCGTGGCCGATAATCGGTACATATGCCATTTGTTCCTTCGGAATCGTGGGGCCCGTGTGCACCGTTAGTTTGGAATGAGGGTTTCCGAACTCCCCTAGTTGGATCCTCCGTGTCAACCAAACCGGTTAAAGTTCCGAACATTCACTTTTTGTCCTCGTAATTTTTCTAATTAACACCTCAGTGGTGAGGAGTCAGTGAGTAGAACTTCTCAGGTAGTGGCTGTATGCACGTAACCATGTGAGAGCGTTTGGAAAGGGAGAGCAGACTCTATCCTCTCTCAGCCGTACCAAAGCATTTGGGGGTAATGAAACACACATACAGTCCTTCGTAGTTTTTAATCAACTTTTAATGTAAACTAATTAAATTAAAAATTCCTAACAACAGCATTACTTACTCGGTGGTCTCAGGATATACGAGCAATCTTCGGACCACCGAGTAAGTAATGTAGTTGCTAGAAAACGGGTACCAGGTAGGTATGGCGAATCAATTGGCGAGGTAGTGAAACTCCATCAGTTGAGATACCTGGGACACGTGTTACGTATGCCCAACCACCGTCTACCCAGACGTGAGATGTCTTGTGATGTAGGAGAATGTTGGAAGAAAGCTAGGGGCGTTATGCCTTTTACTTCTCTGACTAATTACTTGATTGGCAAGAGAAGAATGAGGGAGAGGTTTATTGATCTACCGAATATATGTATCAATAGTCGCTTATACTGATACATTTCTACCGCTTAGAAAACCAATCCATGCATTTATCATTTAGAAAAAATCTGATTGTCACTAAGTGACCAAAACATGGCACAAATCCATGAAGTCACTAACACGTGGACTGAACCATGTTGGTAGGTCTACACCTGCTACCTGGTTGAGATCAGCGAGATGATGGCAACCGATGGTTAGAGACCCTGAATGATATGGCTCAAAATCGTTTGAAATGGTGCAGGTGCATCCACTCTTTGTGTTCTCCCGAATTCTAATCTTTTGAATTCTCCATGTCCCCTTTCTGTCTCTTTCCAAAATTATTTCACTATATTATACTCCTTGATAACATCTTCAAACACTAATCTTTCCGATTACTGCTTATACTCTTACCGCCTCTACCACTTTGGGATTTGAATAGACAAATGCATCTCTGTGTTAATGTGGTATGGCAACTTGAACTGATGTACGTACGTAGTTACGAAGTTCTACGTTGTTACTGACTGACTGAATGTAAAGTAAACAAAATGTGAATATTTCAAACAATGATGATTTTTCACTGATAATAAAACATCAGGGTGTTAACCAATAGATTATTGATTTTTACAATAGTTACCTTTTATAAACCGATTTGTAACTATGTCAAATAAACATACAGACTGGGGTTGTAAAACTTCACTATTTTATAGAATTTGAAGTACTTTTATCTTACTCTTTTCATGATGTTTTTCAAGATGATTGTTTTTGGTATTATGGAGTTCTCTACGGTAGACGGTTTCCTTGAACTGTTTTCATCATCATACTGAATAATATCTCTAGGACTTACTTCATGTAAACGTGTACATTGTATTTATTGTAAAAGCTTTGAATTAGTTCTTCATGATGTGACTGATTGTCTTCACAGCTTTCGCTGATTTCCATTGCCTCTGTATTTAATTTATCTGTCTTGTTCCATTGACATCCAAAACATGTAGTTGGTTAACATCTTCGTATAGTTTGATAGCTCAGATCTATGTCAATATATTTACTGACTTTAAATGGATCCAGAAGCCATGCTTCTAGAAATTCCTTAGCCAGAAACTTTCCAGAATCATGGCTTCTGGATTCATTTGATGTCAGTAAATGAATTGATATAGATCTGATGAAAGACGACTATCTTCTGAATCACTAGACTTAAACAACTGTGATTTTATTTGTTATTGTAATTTAAGATGATCATGAAGACACAGAAACTGGATCATGTACGAAAGATGAAATGATTAAACTTAGGAGCGTCTTGACTTCTGAGGATCATCAACGATATTTCGAAATAATGAACAGGAAGTTGAGACAAGTGTACTCCTATAAATAAAGAATATTCTAATGGAGTTTTGTTCTCTGAACTGAATGACTTAGTCGTGGAGCTTTCATCGTTTTTCTGAATGAATTCTACCTAAAGTTCGAGCTGATGATGTTGTTCAGAAGAACGATGCAAAGATCCATGACCAAACTATCCAGTTCAGAGAACAAAACTAAATCAAGATCATCCATCTGAGCTACAAATCTTCTAAACCATCTCAAAATCATATGAGCATAGTACGCTTCTCGTTGTTTAAAAGAATATTGTAAAGAATATATATGAGAATGACCGGGAACACATTGATGTAAATGAATCAGGAATATGTAACTTATTCATATTGACTTGAAAGACCTAATAATAAATGATAAAAGAACTAGTCTGAAATTTTCAGAAAGGGGTTTTGTGAAGATTTCAATATTTTAATAATAAAATCCATGAGTCAATTAAAACTAAACCACCATAGAAAATCGTTAGGTCCTACGTTCGAATCTCGCGGGGCGGGTTCGTAGATGAATACTGCTGAACAGTCCTAAACTAGAACGTAACGGTTGTTTAGTGCTTCCAGGTTTTCCAAATGGTGATCTAACTCTAATTGACTCATGAATTCAACTATTGTCTATGTGTAATCTATAACTTACAATGCAGAATTTTGAAAACGTAATGTTTGTATAACATTAGAATTATTCATAGATTTTTCACCAACTAACGAATTACGACCTGTTGTTTGAATAGTTGCAGAACTTGCTTTTCTAGCTGAAAGAGGCTAATAAACAACAACAAAGAAACGGTTTTACCAAGTCGATTATCTTAAGCAATGGTTGATATGACATATAAGTTACTTACAATGACAAAAATTCATCCACACTTCGTTATCTTCTACGGTTGTCTATGCAAAATACTTCTGATCCGTTGGCCAGACACTATCAGCAATAGTCTACTATGGGAGAGAACAAACCAGATTCCAGAGGAGAAATAAATCAGGAAGAAGTGCTGGAAGTGGATAGGACACACATTGAGGAAGGCACCCAACTGTGTCAAAAGACAAGCCCTCACTCGGAACCCTCAAGGTCAAAGGAGAAGAGACTAGAGAACACCAAAGAACACTACTTTGAGAAATGGAGACAGACATGTGAAGAATGAACAAAAATTGGATGGAACTAGAAAAGAAGGTCCATGATAGAGTAAGTTGGAGAATGCTGGTTGACGGCCTATGCTCCATTGGGAATAAAAGGCGCAAGTAAGTAACTGAGACTGTTACTATGCTTACTGTAATCTGCGCTACTTAGACTGATAGATATAAGTAGTATGTAGCGAGAATTGAAAATGGAATGCTTAGCCAGTAAACGACTGAAATAAAGCGAAAAGGAGGAAGAACAGGAAGAAATCGAAAAAAACAGAATTGAAAGCCAGTCTCTAGTGAGTATATGCTGATTAGTATCATAAGGGGTTGTCGTTGATATTACAGTAATTTCATTAGTTGAGGTCATTAGTCACTTGAAGATAGACCACGATGGAGAACCTGCATGCACTGGACGGCCGTTTCGTCCTACTGTGTGACTCCTCAACAGTGCGCATCCACAATCCCGCCTCGATAGATTCGAACCCAGGGCCTATCGGTCTGAGACATTAACACCATAGGATGCTGGTCGCCTCAATGGTCTAGAGGTTAAGAGTTCACACGCAAGACCACTATTGAAATTACTACTCATGTATCTGTTTTAATAATTTCATCTCGTAACATTGATGTAGTTTACGACAACCTAAATCATGTACTCAGATCCCATGTTCTATATTGCTTTTAACTGATTGGTTGATTGTTTTAGTTGGACAGTTTGTGAGTGCTATTTTAAGTTAACTGATAACAATGAAAAAAACTGGTGGAGTTCAATCACGTTGTAAATGATGTTGCCACTAGTCGATGAGAATAGATGGTTTTGATCTAGCAATCGAAATGAACTGCAGTTGAAATATATGTACAAATGGATTTCAATTAAGCAGTCTGACGATAACGTTTTCATCTTGTAACCTGAACATCTTGTGTCCAGTCCTCTGGTCGAAATATCGGGAAGCCCATACTGAGGAGTTTCTAACTAAACTAAAACAGCTGTAAAATACATCCTAGTTTTTCACTGATTTTCTGGCTATTTTCATTCCCCGATAAAGTATCTTCAAAGATGAGTCCCAGGGAATTCCAGGAACTTCCAGCTTAAATTACATGATAACAAGTAACTCGGGAAAACTAAAGGAGTAGAGAAGATAAAAACCCTTTAACTTTAAAACTTTGTGTTTATGTAGACTAAAAGTATGTCCTGATTTAAAGTATGATCCATATGCAAAGATGGATAGTGGCCAGCAGTGAAATGCTGGACGTGTGTTCCGTCGTATTTGGGACTGATCAATTGCAGTCTTAAATAACAATGATAAGATACAAGTAAACAACTTCAGTTGAATTTAAACTCCATCCCACTGCACAAGCAAGTGTCTATTGTGACACAGTAGCCAAGTGGATGACGCGATGACGTTTGAAGTAAACGGTACTAGGTTCGAGTCACAGAGTGAACATTAACTCTGAGATTCAGGTATATCCAGTTGACCAGTCCCAAATAAGACGAAATGCGTGTACGGGATTCCACTACTAGCCAAGATACATTTTTGCTAATAATGCTTGTGACTTATGAGGGCGTGTACTTATCATTGTAAAGTAAACGGAAACTAACTGTTACCTATTCATTTATTGATAAACACTTACTGCGCTACCAATTCTTTGCTTTTGAACGTTTAACTGATTTTGTACTAATGCTAACTGTAGAAAAAAAAGGAGAAACTTTAGGTTAAAATTATGAAATGACGGATCAAAATGACATTCTTCATTAAAATAAATTTATTGAATATTCAGTAGAGATAGATAATGGCAAGCGATAGAAACCATGGAACATAATTCGTCTTATTCGAGACATATCAGCTACATATACCTGCATAACAAAGTTGATGTTCACCAGGAATTCGAACCCGGTACCGTTAACTTCAAATATGAAGGCGATATGAGGGTAATACGCACAGAATTTGTATATGCCAAAAGAGACTGATCAACTGCAGTGCTAAACATCGATAAAAGGATCCAAATAATCAAATTATATGAATTTTTAGGTATGATCAACCATGATGGAGAAGATTTGTAGCTCAGGTGGATGATTTTGATGGAGAAATTCGAATACTTTACTTCTACCTAAAGTTTGCTTTGATGATGTTGTCCAGAAGAACGATGAAAGTTCCACGACCAAATCATCCACCTCAGAGAACAAAACTCTCAAAAATGATAAAGTATCAGTTACAACGGGACAAATTGAATACGGTTGGAATAATAGCCTCAATATAGTAAGACATGTATATTGGACCAAACTATGAGGCTCTTGTGAAGCATTTTGGTGGCGTCCATAAAAATGTATTGCATCATTTAGATATATTGAAACTCGGTTAATGGAACTTGATTAGCACCATAAGTTAGATAACCTCAATCAATGTTACCATTTCGATCTTAAAGTAGACCAGCCACAGCCTAAAAAGCTTATAGATAATTTATCTGACTGTAATAGTGAACAACTCAAATATGAATCCTGAACAGAGTATTTACCACTTTAAAATATTCAGATAATCCATTGTTGATGATCTTTAAACTAATACGAAACTTAGATTCAAGCATTCCTAAACCTACAGTTATTCACACGTTTTTCAGTGTTCACCAAATGCGACTTTCCAAACACCTTGGATCGTTTTTCCTACATTTAGTATGGAACAGTACTATATTAAAGCGTAATTTTTATCATAACTGTCTGATATTAATCTGTTCAGTGGAGCGCAGCATAATATAACGGATATAAAATAAAACCTTCAATGAGAATCCCACTCTGATATACACCTTTCACTAACTAGATGAATGGTGAACTGACCAATACTTTTATCTACGTCACACTTTGTGACAATTCCCTTCAACTCTGTTAACATTAGAGACAAAATCAGTTATTGTCTCAAAGTCGATCTATTTTTATTTGAAAAGGATTGACAAACAACTTATTAATATTCTGTTATATCCTAACGAAGATTAAGTTATGAGTAACTTCAGAGAACTATTAGTGGACCAATATCACTTATATAGTCCTACTGTATAACTATTCAGTAATTAGATTGTGTATAACTATATTTCTCTTAGTATAAGCTTTATTTTGACCTGTAATCTATTATTATACAATTTACCGTTCTTGAGTTACAGCAAGTTTGTCAATTACAATCTCCCACATTTACAGTCACTTTTTGGCTTGATCTTGTATAAATGTTATTTCCTATTTTGTGGTGTGATGTAGTCTGCTTGGCTGGTGTATACACCAAGTATGTTTGAAATACATAATTCATATAATGGAAGCTATTATTGGCGTTCCGGACTCAAATGGAAGGTTTAAGAGGACAAAGGAACCAACAAGGACACTATACTGCTCATACCAGTCGAGCTTCATTGGTTTAGCACAATGCTTAGATTGTATAAGTCATATTTCGATTGGCGAATAAGTTATGTGACAAACATTTGGACTTAAAGTCTTAACAGATTCATTGTAATTGTTAAAAGTACAATATTATAACGTACTTTTCGTGTCAACGTGGCATTTTTTCTTTCTAACACTTCAATTTGTTCTTGAAAATCTTCTTTCCATACAGTTCCAGGATCAGAATCTTTCTTATCATTGGCTAAACGTAGAATTTTAGTTGCCATTCTGTCAACAACAACAACAAAAAGACAAAATAAATAAAGGAGAAAATAGATTGATTTTCATTTAATGTTGATTTTATTTACTTTTTGATACGATCCTCTTGTTTACATGCATGTTTTTTTAATGTTAAATAATCATCATACAATCGTAAATATTGATCTTCTAATTTTTCTTTGGACCATGAACTAATAGCGTTTTTATTTTCCATTTTGACAATTGTTCGTTGGCTTTTAGTTTTGACTATAATTCATCAATTTATCAGATCTATGAGTAAGTATTAAAGAAACGGAATAGACATATGAATTCATTATGACGTATGTAGTAGTTCATCATAAATAAATTTAATAGTCAGGAGAAAGTCATCAACGATTAGATCCCCGATAAATTGTAAAACGCGGTTAAAAAGTAGTCGCATTTAAATTTAAAACAGCTACCCAATGCTCCATAATGTTTACTAGTCGCCTGGCTAAGGTTAGTTGGCGATGCAAACTAATAAAATTAAATAAAGTAAATAAAAGACAACCCAAAGAAAGTGGGCAAATGATGCATTAAATGTGTGATATTCATGTTTTACCAGGCCACTGTGTAGTTTCACATTGAAAAATAAATTGTTTTCCTTTACTTAGGTTCTCGTTTACTACAACACATTTTGAGTTAGTTGCCCATATCTTTCTTCAAGCATACTCCTACACCAGCAAGCATCACTGGTTTAGGAATGTCGTAGGTAGATGTACGTAACAAAGATCCTAATTACATCAATCGATGAATATTGACCAGCCTATTTGCCATTTTCACCTGCAATCCTATATCTAGTATCTTCACTACTAACTCAACAGTTCCACGAGGCGCCGACAATGTTTCAGAGACACCTATGACCAAAACGTTGTAGCCCACTCATATCTGCCAGTTGTATGTCCTTATTTTATGGACGTAGAGTCGCAAAGAGAGAAATGATAAGCGACATACATGTTGAGATATTTGTTTGGTCCGATACTATATATCAGCTAGACACAAACAAGCTCCATTTATGACAAATGTTAAGATGAGAATTACTACTGAAACCTGTATTACGTATTTGGGACTAGTTGTCGAAATTCAACATTCTTGCTGCTTACTAGAGCACATCTTAAACTGAGTGAATAGGTGTTAACTAAAATATACACAATCTAAGATGAAAAAGGAATAATAAATTGAGAGATAATTTTAGGAATTTTCTAAAGCCAAACGCAGACATGCATTTTTATTCACAAGTGACTTAAATAACATTGATTTTCACAGACTCACACTTACTCTCTCAGAGTTTTTTGGACTTGATTTGTGCTTTTTGCTCTATACTATCTTATATATGCCACTTTGAAATTACTTTGATACAATCAATGTTTTCAGAATTACTCAGTTGTGTTAGCTGTGATTGTTTTCAAGATAGTAATTGACGAATTTTGGAAGCTACTAATTTGAGTGACATCTTGAAGTGGTATTCTCTACTAGTTAACTCGGTTTTAAATACAGAACAGTGCTGAACGTAACGTATTCAGTGTAGGAACTTTGAGTAGAGAGCAAAACGTTGATCATCTTGGAGATAAACATATTTTTGTCTACAAAGAGAAGCTTTATTGCTTTTACGTGCAACTTCCCATTAATCGGGAGCTTCGTATCGAAAAGTAACTTCTTTAAGACTTAGAGGTGATGGGATACTAGTTACCTAACCAGGTGCAGCAACATTGATAAAACAGGTGTAGCTTAAAAAGCAGTTTGAAAATTTTCTTTTCCCACGAATCCTGAATTTAGAATATCGTTGGTGTATATATATTAACAAAACAGATATCTGGTTTAAGAATTCATTTTTTCGCAAGAATATTCACAAACGACTCAGTAAAGACGATCTTGACGTCTAAATATACAATACCACACAAAAATGTTTTTAACAGAGTAAATACTATAGTTTTGAACTATATACTTAACCATATACGTATATATATAAGTCCTTATAGCATGTGTACATCTTTTTTTAATGAACCAAAGCATTTGCTTAATCGTACGATTAAGCAAATGCTTTGGTTCATTTAAAAAGATATATATATGCTATCAGGACTTAACACCTCAAACTATGAAAAACCGTGATTATAGTATTATTATATTTTAAATGATATGTAAGAAAATCAGCTTTAGATTTTGCATTAAAGTACTGAATGTTTATTTTAAATAGCTGGGTCATAAGATCCCGAAGATTTAAACAGCAAAATGTCAAAAAATATGATGGATAGAGAATAAATATTTCCATCAATCAAGAAATGTTCATTAGGATAACGATAATCAGACAAAATAGTCTAAATGACTCCAAACCAAAAGTTACACTAGAAACAGTTCTACATGATCAACATATTATAACAAAATCTATGTAGGCAGAGCATAACATTTATTATAAAGATTTGTTAACTATATAAATCAATTGCACGAAAATAAAGTGTAAATTAGTTCAAACCAACTTGTTCAGCTGGCTCATCGATCAAATCCTGCATTTTATCTGAAAGCACTTACTGAAGGGTGGTCTATCACATTGAAAACTGTTCGAGGAAAGGGATAACAACCTGAACCATTAAAAGCGGATGGAGATAGAGTCAAAGTAACTGCTTTTAAGTTATGTGTCTTTAACAGTTATAGATTACTAACACCCTATCTCTAGAACACAGATAATGACAGTAAGTTAGCATGAGGTATTGTGTTCAGTCCTTGACGAGGTAACTAATATCACCCTTCAAGACTCCGGTTAAGTCGCACAAATCACATAGAATAAGATTGCAAGGTGACTATACTTGATATTGGTTTGTGGGGTTAGTGAAATGTCACTGGGCTCCAGCTAAATCATCCCAAGTTGGGTCACTGAATGTCGAGTTGTTCGCCAATTAACTTTAACGCCGAGACCAAATAATGCTCGTCAATTGATTGAACGTTATGGATTGGTCCATGTCCCGATGGTCTCAGTTTGTTTTTTGTGCCTAATCTTAATAATCTAGTACTATAATGTCCGTTGTGCTATACAGCCATCAGACCAACCATAGTACCTGGATACAACGAAAGGGTAATTTACGTCATATACCAACTACAAGATGTGACTTCAACGTTTTCTGGTTTTTCGTATCTTTCCCGACCAAATTCAGGAAGCTTTTGATCAATCGAAAAAGTTAATAGCACGTTAGTGATTTACAGGGATGTTGATTTCACTCGATTGTAAAAGTTTTAAGTAAACCCAAATAAGTTTAGAGGGTGTATACAGCACACGTTTTTGGTATTAGGTAATCATTTGTCTTCTGATGAACGTACTTTATTCTAGGCCAGATACCTTTATTGTTTTCACGAATTCCTCGTGAAATATTGCAAATAGTATTGATTTTGTAGGACGTACTTGAGAACAATTGAAAGTAATAATACCCTTAGGGAATATAAAAAGAAATACTGTTTTTTCACTCGAAGGGAAGCTGAATGGGACCGCTAAAAAATGAGTAAAATCTTCCGATTGAGAACTATTTTAGTTGTTGCTTTGTATCAAAGCATCCAGAAATAATCTACTTTGCGATCTTCATGGTTGAATGTTAGACACCTAGGCCGTCATCCTCAGTAAATTACGCAACATTGGGATACATCAAATAAGAATTTCTAGATCAACTAACCGAAAGGTAATTGTATTAAAATATTTCGACATTATAAAAGGTTTCATATAACTATGAAAATTAGGAACAGCCCTCTGAGTAATGTTGGTGGTTGAAGTAATGCAAGATTACTAGTGGAAGAAAGAGCTTCTAAGTTTCAAAGCTTACAGAATTGATGGAAAAACTTCATGAGTTCATGATAAATCTGCCATTCGGCTTAGTCGTGTTTAATTACCTTCCCTTTCTAGGTCTACCGTGCACTCTTCTATAAAGTTTACATTGTTTAATGAATTTACTATATGTGCCACTAGACGTTACTTCGATCAACCACATACCTTTAGTTGGAGGTTTATACTATAGTTTCGCGATTAGAAGTCTCCTACCATAACGGTATTCTGTAGTGACAGTGAAGAAACACCAAAAACAATAAGAACGCAACTCTTTACAAAAACCTGAAAGTTTCACGTTCGGGCAATAAAATACGGATCAGAATAACATGCAAGAAGTTTAGATCAGGAACGTTATCAAAAATCCTTGCGTATCACTTTCGTCTTTATGTTCAGTACGTTATTTTACCAAACGTGTTTATATGTCACAGAAAAGCTTACAGGTGAGATAGGGTAATATCAGATAGATAATGGGATGAATCGAAATAACATCATACAGAATGAACAGTCACATCATAGTTAGTCAACAATTTGGTATTTGGCTCGTATTTAGCATAAATAAATGCACTAAAAACGGCGATAGACCTAAACTCCATGAACTATTTTGACTCTCTTAAATGTCAGTTATTGGGGATTTACGAGTGGCCTCTATCTAACTCAAACATAGTAAGTTCGAGTGTCATGAAATTACTTTTTCAGTGTCTTATTACATTAAAATTTCAATTTTTTTCGATGCGCGCAATGTATCCCGCCAGTGTCGGATAATCTAGTACATCGATTGAGCGTTAATTATCCTACAAAATATTCCAATGTAAGTATTGCCACCTATTTACTACATCGAAAGTCGAGAATCCCACCAAACAATTTCTCTAAACTCTGAGAACCAGTTATGTGACGTACACATTATAGAGTATAACTGAATATCTATACTGTGAGCTTATGACACAGGATCAAGTGGTGGGCAGAAGGAAAATTTTCTTCTATTAAAGATACTCGTAAGTAGATAACGCAGAACATTTTCGGACATCGATTTTAGTGAAAGTAGGGACACAACCGTTCTTCAAAACTTTAGATATAGGGAGCATGACATCAGATGACTGACGTACAAAAGACTTGTTTAAGTCATAAGCATTCGGCTTATTATCGCTCCTAGTATAACTGTCACCTGTAAGTCCTTTAAACAGTTTCCACGCACTTAAGTTTCACAAGATAGGAGGTTCTGAGTAGACATAGAATCCAGACATCGAATCTCTAGGTTTATTAGACCATTTAGCACACGAAATTCAATATATTTTTTCCTAGTAAATTCTTCCTTTTATCCTCCGTAATCGATTTAGTTGTAGAAATGTAACTCAATCAGAACTTAGAATAATGGTTTCAGTGGACAGCAAATA